AGACGAGGTACAGCTCAAGCTAATTCAAGCTGATAACGTCCATCACTTTCACGCCACATGAATAGTATATTATTCAGGCCGCCCCCGGGGTGTTAGTTACATCTATTTTTTCATCCAGAGTGACCTTATTTCATATTTTTTTAACCATTTTATGCGAAGCCTTCTAAATGAATGTACTTTAAATTTCTAAATAAAAGGGTAAACAACAACGGTCACCCTCACTTCGTCCAAGTTTTAAACAACAAACTGTGAAATTCTAGCCTATCGCTAGAGATCGAAGATATGCTAAAGTACACCAGTAGGGCTACGTAGTCCCTTTAGTTCATTTCATGCTGAAAATTTTGAGCAAGTTGGACTTCCATCTTGTTTATGGCAACGGAAAGTTATTAATTTCTGTTAAGCAACTAATAATGATTTCTTATCATTTAAACTTTTAGTTCCTCCAATTACAGACTCCTAATATTATTTCTGCCGCAATTCCATGCATTTCGCATAATAATGCTCGTTATGTGTCGTTTTCTTGTTCAGCAATCGCGAGGTTTTTAAACAGCATACATTTACTTCCATAAAAACACAATACAATACAACGCTAGCTGACGTTTCGGCAGTATCGCCTTCTTCAGAGCCTGGAAGGGTATGCTGATATACAATCTACTAGGCCAAACGCTTCAATGACACTTACAAAAAGACGAAAAACTCTTTGGTGATCAACACATGATCAACAGCTTCTCGAAAAAACCCACCGCTTTTTCGTGACTTCCAATGAGGAAGTTTAGAACAGCTGATTATAGTCGCATGTGGTTGACGACTGCACCATCCCACAATGCTCGTTATGCTCGTCATTACTACAAAAGTTCAGAAATGCCACTTTTCTATCTATAACATGGTTGAAAGCATGTGTAGCGAAGTGACTAGTGGTGTCGTACAATATTCACAAGATCCTTGGTTTGATCCAGTTTGTTCTCGTGCAATCCGTGTCCTCTATTCCTCCAGTCTCGGTTTCGATTCCTTCCACACTCGTGTAAGGGATAAAATCACAAACTTAATATATTGGTGAGCCACTGCAAGCCACTCTATAGCCTAGAATGCATTCAATCATATCCACAATGCCACGAATGGAGTCGAATGCATGCGCCTCCTTAGGGGACTGATCCATTCCAAGTGCGCTACGCGTTATTAACTTAAGTGAAAAGTCGTTTTCGAACACAGACTTGGAGAGAATTAGACATAATTGCATATGAAAGAACATACTTTATAAACTATATCTATTATAGTAACTCCCAAGTCCGACTTTTTATTAACCGATTCCAATTCTTATTCCATTCGATTCTATTTTTTTTCGATTTCGATTCTTTTTTCTGATTCTTTCTTTATATTTATTATATACATTATAGTTCCCAGAATCGACTTTCTATTAACCTCGGCATTGGAATATGAATGCGTCGTTTTCTTGTTCAGCAATCGCGAGGTTTTTAAACAGCATACATTTACTTCCATAGAAAAACACAATACAATACAACGCTAGCTGATGTTTCGGCAGTATCGCCTTCTTCAGAGCCGCATTTCGGTGACTTCCAATGAGGAAGTTTAGAACAGCTGATTATAGTCGCATGTTGTTGACGACTGCACCATCCCACATCAAAAATCGATGCGAACGTACGGGATCAGGTCGCGTATGATCTCCGGGCATTCGTCCCTGCTATTCATTGTAGGGTTTTTGGCATTGATCCAAAAAGCCTCAAGAAGTTTTCGCGCTGGTGTTTTGGACTCCTGTGCAAGGATATTGACTTTTACTTCAAAATCATCTCCGCTATGCTTTTGTATCCTATGCGTGCCTAGTGGGGTGCTTCGTCTTAGTTTTCGTTTGCCATCTAGGTGTTCTTTTATACGGATACACAAAGGTCTGCCCGTTTCGCCAATATATTCATCTCCTCAATTATTACAAGAGATCAGGTATATCGTACCTGAAGTCATGCAATCACCGTCCCTGCCGTAAGGGCAAATTACGCAATTTGTTGTTTCACACAGACGGTCATACAGGCGGTTACGAACTAATTGACGACGTAGAGTAGCCGGTGGTATTTCAACTATCGCTACCGATTCCTCTAGACTTGNGACTTCCAATGAGGAAGTTTAGAACAGCTGATTATAGTCGCATGTTGTTGACGACTGCACCATCCCACATCAAAAATCGATGCGAACGTACGGGATCAGGTCGCGTATGATCTCCGGGCATTCGTCCCTGCTATTCATTGTAGGGTTTTTGGCATTGATCCAAAAAGCCTCAAGAAGTTTTCGCGCTGGTGTTTTGGACTCCTGTGCAAGGATATTGACTTTTACTTCAAAATCATCTCCGCTATGCTTTTGTATCCTATGCGTGCCTAGTGGGGTGCTTCGTCTTAGTTTTCGTTTGCCATCTAGGTGTTCTTTTATACGGATACACAAAGGTCTGCCCGTTTCGCCAATATATTCATCTCCTCAATTATTACAAGAGATCAGGTATATCGTACCTGAAGTCATGCAATCACCGTCCCTGCCGTAAGGGCAAATTACGCAATTTGTTGTTTCACACAGACGGTCATACAGGCGGTTGCGAACTAATTGGCGACGTAGAGTAGTCGGTGGTATTTCAACTATCGCTACCGATTCCTCCTCTAGACCTTCTTAAGCATCGTTTTATAGCTGCGCTTACTTCATCGCTTATAAAAGGCAACATGAACGGGACTTTCTTTTGGCCAAGTATTTCGCGTGGGCGCGTCGTTCTCCTTGTAAACTTATCTCGTGGGTTTACTATTTCGTAGCCATTGGAGATGGCTATCTGCCGAGCCGATAAAATCGATAGACCAACATGTCCCGTCCTACACCTACTTATTAAAACACATAAGTTGATATCACCTGATGATCATTCGTCAACCAATCCGTTATCATATAAGGTTAGACCGATCATCAGCTGTGTAGACGCGCCAACGGACAGAATAACCTGGTTTTTAAGCCCGATACTTACTCAGCTGTTTAACCACATTCCAGCTCACCTCACAAACACCCAAATTTTCCTAGAACGTCTACGTAACGCGTCTCCTAGCAACTCATGCCTGATGGAGTCTTTCGACGTTACCGCGTTGTACACCAACGTGCCGAATGACTCCGCAATGCAAGCCATCTTCGAACTTCTTGTTGAACATGAAGGAAGAATAAATATGCATGGCTTGTCCATCCAGCAGCTAATGGCTCTCTTAAAAAAGTGCCTAAACTGCTCGATTTTCAGATTGTCTGGGAAATATTTCGCCCAAATAAGGAGGTTGGCAATGGGACAGCGACTGGCACCAAGCCTTGCCCCAAGTCTTGCCATTGTGTTTATGTCTAAGACAGAAGCCCCTGTTCACGACCTCCGGCCACTACTTTATTGCAGATATGTAGATAATTGTTTTGTCGTCTTCTCTACGCAGGAGGAGATGGACAAATGCTTTGAATTATTGAACGAGCAGTCCGAGTACATAAAGTTCGCCCGGGAGAAACCGAGAAAAAACTGGCTTCCGTTTTTGGACGTTCAAATAAACCTATCAAGTAGCGGTTACCTGACAAAGTGGTATCGGAAGCCAAGTAACAAGAACATTCTTGTTCATTTCCTTTCTTCCCACCCTTCACACACAAAGAGGGCGATTGTGAGAAACATGTTTCGAACAGCCACCTCTGTGTGCACTACCAGGGAACTAAAGGAAGAGTCGCGCGACTTGGCTCGGCAAATAGCCATCTCCAATGGCTACGAAATAGTAACCCCACGAAATAAGTTTACAAGGAGAACGACGCGCCCACGCGAAAAACTTGGCCAAAACAAAATCCCGTTTATGTTGCTTTTTATAAGCCATGAAGTAAGCGTAGCTATAAAACGATGCTTGTTCTAAACTTCTTCATTGGAAGTCACGGAAAAGCGGTGGTTTTTTCCAAGAAGTTGTTGATTATGTAATTACCGGAGAGTTTTTCGCCTTTTTGATTTTGATTGCGACCACTGCTCCACACGCGCCCCACATAAGAACATATAAATAAATATATCGATTATTTATTCCAAGGTTTATAGAAAGTGGGTTCTTTGAGTTATCTTATTATTATGTTCATTATGCAATTTATAATTAAATTTTTCTCTGTGTCGAGTATCATGTGGGAGTGTTATTTAAATAAAATTTACTACAAAAGTTAATTCTGAAGTATTTCTGTACCTTCTTCGTTCTTCGGTACTCATGGATTTTTTCACTCAATGTGACTTTGAAAGACGCCATTCCTTTTTACGATGAAGAATTCTGATTTTTTTTTTCCTTCTGCATTTATATATAGTCAAATTAAACCCTAAATAGCACCATTTTCTGCAAATAAGGAAAAAGGCTATTTTAGCACCTGTTTCCCAGTGAGGTTTTCATAGCATTCATATTTCGACTTTAACATCTATACGATTATTAATAGATCTACATGTTACTTTATTTAAAATCTTAAAATATTTATACTCGATAAGACGAATACATCATATTGGGGGTGCGAACGATTGTGGGCCATGGACTTGTACCATCGGCTCTGATGAGTAAGGCGAAAAAACCTAAGCCGAACAAAGTCCTTTATCAAGCTCATGTTAGCTTGCCGATGAAGGAATACATATTGGTTAGTCACATCGAGGTTAAAGGAAAGTCGATATTTTACTGAAGTACTTCAATAATCATGAGGGAGGAGAGTGGCGAGTGATGCACTTCGTCAGGAAGCAAGATTCTGTTTCGACCCGTACCCTGACTCGCCACTCCATTCTACGTGGAAATGCCTTAGCTCGGCTATGTCCAAGATTGCAAGGGGATTCGAAGTCATTTTAGAGAAAGCGTTTAGGAAACAGTTTAACATAATTGTATGTGAAACGAGGTAGATTATACATTATATACATCATGTTGGAAAAGTCATTTTCGAGCAAGAACTAGGAAACAATTAAGCATAATTATACGTGGAAGGATACCCATTATACATCACGTACATTCTACTACATATATTACTGCACTATATTATTTTGTGTATATTATATAACGACAAAAAGAATTCTTTATCCTAAGGATTTATCCTGGCATGTGTTGCGCAGTGGTCGGAGGCGCTCTGCAACACAATCGTGGAATCGATCTCCGGTTCCATGGCCCGCCAAGCCTTCCATCCCTCCAGGGTCAGTAAATTGGTTATCAGGCTTATTTGGAGGCGTAGCAGCACTGGCTCGATACATTGGTAGTCCACTGCGAGCCATTGTAAAGACCAGATATGCGTTCAATCATCTCCAAATGATGCTTAGTGAAGTCTATTGCATGGCGCATTCCTCAGGGATTGGTCAACGCCGAGAGCTTTATCGTCTATCCTTTAGGATTTATCCCTTATATATCATACATCTATTGTGCATTAATAGCTTGCTTTCTGTTTTTTTATATAGTTTTTAGACAGTTCAGTTATAAATCCTGCTGTTTTATAACTCCTCAGGAAATCTTCGTTTGTGAGAATTTGTATCTGATAAGGCATCTTTTAAAAGATCTGAGCCATTGAAAGCTAAGTGTGAATGATGGTTGACATAATTCTAAGAACGACGATTTTCAGGCACACTGGGTTCGATCGCTTCCTTATCGTTCAGCCAGAAGCAGGCACTAAACGCTTCATGGCGTTTGCTACGTCCTCAGGCACCGAATCTCTTCCGGAAAATTTTTCTCGAATTAGAAGTGGTATCATGTAAAGTGAAACAGGTACTTTGTTTTTTTTGAAGGAAGTCAAATCATCATTCACAGGTAGTGCAGATAGATTTGTGCTTGATTACTGTAAGAAATAAAGCCGAACGATCGTGCCATTAGATTAGGTGTGAAGGAAAGGCTTCTAGATGAAAGCCAAAGCAAAAACTAGACGTGTTGAACTGCAAATTAAAGTGCTTTGTAAAGTTTATCGTCATCATTACTTATGATATTGGTTGGTAGTGTGAGAGAAGAACAGAGGTATCTTTATAGTTCATTATCGTTAATATTAACGATATTGATTGATGGTGAGTGAAAAAAATCAAAAAGGTTTCTTTCTATGCCTTCTGTAGTGGACTGGTCGTGACTAAACTTTACTAGTTATCCTTTATCTAGTAATTCATGTAGATTTATTGTTATACAACTTATTGGAAGTATGATGCAAAAATTCCTTTTTTCTTGGCTAAACACAAGTCGTTTTATACCTCGTTCCTCCTAAAAGACGCACAATTTTTTTCTGGATTGATGACGTCATTTTTCACGTATTTTTTTGGGTGATTTTTATTAAAATTGCATCGAATCCCTATCGATCACAAGTTCTATGCCCATAGCCAAATTTCTTCAAAAAAATGCTTTTTTTCTAGCTTATTTTTTAAGTAATAATGTTGGCGAGCTTCTAGATTTTCTATAAAGCACTCTGTGTCGATGCGTTCAATAAGGATGAAGAAAATATCGCTACCATGGAGGTGCATGTCAAGCTGATGGTAAAGTAAGTTTAATTTGTCGACTTGCCCTTATCAGTTAAATTCATTCAAATATACAAGAGGAATGACCGCTAGATATAAAGATTCTATCCAAGTGCGAACTTATCTCTTATCTCTCTTTGTCTCTGAAATTCTCTGAACTGTTGTCTCTGAAAAGAAAGTGCCTGTTTTAAACAAACAACAATTTAAACAATGTCTTCATAATATTTTGTCTATCTCTTTAACTAGAAATACACTTTCTCACGAAGATGTAGCTGTTTTTGAAAAACTCAATGTGTAAAATAATTCATGAATTCATAATCGAATGTTCTGTCTTTCTGAGGAAGCGTACTTCCTCCAGCAAGACCAGCAATTTGCCACTCACGCAAGGTTTTTTCCTTGGGTTCTTTTGAATTCCGTACCAGTACGTTCCCAGATTGTCACTACAGGCGGCCGATGATCCTTGTGAACAAAAGAGAGAGAGAGAGAGAGAGAGAGAGAGAGATTCGACTATGCGTCTAGCTTCATTCCAGAATAACGGCGATTCCCTTTCCCCACTGACAGCCTTATCCAGGCTCCTTCAAAGAGGTGTTTAGCATATTCATAACCTTGCGTGTTGAGCTCAATACGTACTGAAATGTCAATTTGATTGATTAAAAATCTTCATCATATTCTACGTTCCATCTGAGAATCAATGGGGAGCAAAGTGTAGGCAAGATATCCATTATATATAAAATTAAGGAGATTTCTTTTGAATGAATGGACATTATTCTTACCAATGATACAATGTGCAAGTTTATTACGCTAATTTTAAGAGCCTATGAATCGAAAGGGTTTCCACTTTTTCCCCAGAAATTTCAAGCTAATTCTCGTTTTTAACGTGTTCTATAGTGTCATCTATAGTTTCAATTTAGGGTGACGTCAAATGCATTTTAGATCTTCTTAGGTTTTTTGACGACCTTCTGGTAACGTTGGACGACGACGCCGAGCGTATCGATAGAATGAAACGAATAGGATCCGCCCACGCAGTTCTTGCAAGAACATGCGGGTTCACTAGGTGGAGTGTTCAAAATACTTCGTATCTATCTGATTCGCCACGTTAATCTCTCAACCAAAATTATTCTAGTAAAAGACTTTGGAAATTTCGTTCGATCGCGGTCTTACACATTTAGACTGAAGTAATTCCTTATCGGCGACAACCGCAAATTCGCTTAGCATCCGTGGGGCCACTACGAATTTGTTACTGTCTTTTTGGTGCCCGTCTTATTGTCCACTAATATTATTCTATAATACAATACAATGTTGCATACTTCCATAGCTGCTGGCTGTTCAAAAGCCAAAATGAGCTGTTCTCGACTACACTGTATAACTTTTATCTATTGCCCATTCGTTTTTTCACCCTTGGCATTATGTAAAATACAATCACAGTGATGCTGAGATGTTTGCGTAACTTGGACTCCAGGCCAGATCAAACCACGATCACCCTTTCTTTCCGGGGCTCACGTGTTACGCATGGCACCACTGATGATCTCATTCTGCCTTCCTATCAGCCAATCTTTCTATTCTAACGGCACCATCATATATATCCTTGATTCGGTATCAGGGATATACGAGATTGTTCACACGTATTTTGATGTTCTATGACTAGCTTTTTGGGGTCTTCGGCTTCTCCAAAGGTTAGGCATACTACTATGTTGTTCATGGAATGATGAATGAAACTCACTCAGATCTGGAAGTTAATCTGAGATGACAATGTTAACTTTTTATTAACTGCCTATTACAATTTCGCACCTCAGGGAATTATGTGGAATACAACAACAAGAGACAGCTGAGATACAGCTACAACAGCTGAGATATTTGCAAAACTCCATAGCGCAGGTATCTGCGGTGGGGATCGCACACGCTTTTACTCTTACCGAGGACTAACACGTTCACCACAGAACCATTCGAGTTTCACGGAGCTAGTTTTTCATCCACCAATCTATAGTGAACGCATTAGCTTGGAAACGCTAATAACCTGTTCGATCCCCACTGCAAACACCTGCGGCCCGAAGTTTTGCAAGTATCTTAGCATCATTATGGCTGTATTTCACACAATCTGTGATGATTGCGGCTGCAATCTCAGAATTGCTCCGTCGCGTTTATGCGTCCTATGTGTACTTTACGAATATTTGCTTAGATATCAAGCTTTCCATCTAGGTTTATTTTACGGAAAAAACTCTCTACCCGTTTCACCAATGTGTTCCTTTGCGCGGGCTGTATCAAAATTTCCACTCTATTTCCGATGGTGGGGCGAGCTTTGTTTTTTGACTGACCTTCGAAATAACCGTGTCATAAGTTCTCATTTTGTTACCGTAATAACAGACCGCGCTCATGGACTGAAGCAATGCGCTTGCCGGCTTACAGTTAGGTTTCTTCCATAATAGCAGTAATTGTAGATATGAATTTAATCCTACCTAGGTTTGCAACTAGGAATGTCGAACTCTTTTTTAGCTTGCATTGCCCTGTGAAAAGGATAAAATCTTTGCTGTTCACAGTAGCTCTCCACTTAAGAGCATACCGTTAACGAGGCCACCTATTGAAAGAGATCATGTGCACATTATGCTTAGTATTCAATGGTAACTTAAAATTTATTACATTTTTAGTGATATTTGGGAACGACTCGGTGAAATTTCCATGGAACGAATTTGCTCACATGAAATTGTCCAAGTAGGTTTTCGGCCTAATAATTTTCTAATCTTTTAGTAACTCAAAAACCGACTTCCAATAAACCTCGGCATGAATAGTTGGTATATTTATTTATATGATCTTATAAACTGTTCTTGTTTAGCCATTGAGAGGTTGGTGTAGGTCTTTGTTGTCGTTGTTGTTGTTGTTGTTGTTGTTGTTGTTGTTGTTGTTGTTGTTGTTGTTGTTGTTGTTGTTGTTGCCGTTGGTGTTGTTGGTCGATGGGTGACGTTTCGGCGATTTCGCCTTCCTCAGAGCCTAGACGTATTTTATGTAACAGTAGTCTTCTGTTCGGTGAAATATTTGTAGCATTAATGAAGATCAAACTTCCAAATAAATGCCATATGGATCAAAAAGGCTGCTCACCGTGCTGTTACGAATGGGATTGCCCGCGTGTAGTTCACGTGGGACGTCGAGCGAGACCCACGCGGGGGTCAAAGTATCATTTTTAAATCGGGCGCCAGGTCACGTATGATATCGAGGCATTCGTCCTTCCGGTTCATCTTTGGATTTTTGTAATTTATCCAAAACGCCTCAAGAGTTTTGCGCGTTCATGTTTTTGATTCTTACGCTAGTAGAACGACAACGAAGACCTACACCAACCTCGTATTGGCTTAATAGGATCAGCTTATGAGATCGTATGAATAAATTTTCTAATCTGTTTGATTGCGTTTTCACCGAACAGAAATGATGAGTCCTTGGAGACCACGCTGTTTCAAGTTGTGACAGTGTCATATTTCATTTCTTTCTTGGTATCAGTTCCTTTTTTAAATTTTGTTTATTTTGAATTTAATCGGTTTGCTATCATACCGTGTGAAAAAAACCATCTCCTAGAAGACTCGAGAAGCTGCTCGAGCTTGGCGAATACTACTCGCATGCGTGATCGACGAATTTCGTGGCGGCTTCGATGGTGAAGCCCGTTATCATAGGTAGGAGCACATGAAACAAAAGCATTAATTCAAATTAAATTAGGGCTGATTGGTGAGGAGGCAGGAGTGCATATCACCTCACCATTATCTTAAACGATGCATGGTGAAGCTTTTTCCTTGTTTTAACTTATTCTTTACTGCCTACTCTTTTTAACTGCATTGTATTTTGCGAAATATAACTTTTAATGATGCTGAGATATTTGCAAAACTCCGGACCGCAGGTGTATGCGGTGGGGACGAACGCGCTATTGTCCTTTCCGGGGAGTAACGCGTTCACCACCACACCATGCGGGTCCTTCGTTTCGCCTGTCTCTCAGCTAGTTCTATCGATCTTTTGCCATCAGCAATCACCCGCCAGCGGGAATGATTTGGGGAGCCCAAATCGGCAACGAGACCAGTTAAGCTGAGGTTGCAGTTAAAATCACAATTTTAACTTATTCTTTACTGTCTACTCTTTTTAACTTTTTCCTTGTGTACTGCCTCGTGTTCTAACCATTTCTGTGGGTTTGTTCTCTTATAGTTCGGGTAACTTCCACACTTTACTCTTTATCACTGCCAGTTTTTTGTGTTGGCAGAACTATACAGTTCGATAGATTCATTGTTAGATGCACTATTTCAACTGCAGTAGGCTAAGATTTCATTTTCCGTTATGGATACGCTTCACCGGCTGTCGGGCTTTTTGGCTTTTTCTCTTTCCTGAAAATCTTTTGGACCTACCAAGTTCAACATTTACTTGTCTCACTGGCTCGCGTATTGTCGGTCTTCTGTGTGATATTTACTATTTTGGTCGGAAAAGCTTCACCGTCACTACTAAAAAGGTCAAAAACTGATGTTTTTAACCAACGAAGGACAGGTTTTAGTGTCGCAACATAAATAATGGTTTAGTGTTGAATATAACAAATGGGCATATATCCATTTTCGAATTACCGTTTCCAGAAAAACGTCCTCCGTGGAGCAACTGGAGGATGTCGACGACGATGTGACGAACGATATTCACGAAAAAATGCGTCAACTTCGTATGGAGTACGATTCAACAGTGCCTTATCAGTAGAGGCGGTATGCGTACTGCTCTCTCAACATTATCATTATCGTTATCATCATCATCATCATCATCATCATCATCATCATCATCATCATCATCATCGTTATCATATTATCATTACTACCAATATTATTATTATTGTTATCGTAATTTACTACTACCACGTTCTTCACCGTTGCTTTCTAGTCATCTTTCCTGTGTAAGTCGTTCATGAATATTCACGTAAACATAGATTATACTGAATTTATAACTATGCACAAATAAGACAGAACTTCTGGACGACACATTCCGAGCGATTCAAGTTTAACTGGTCCAATTTGTAGTAAATCCACGTTCTATTACTGATCACAACTAATAGCTTTATGCGAGTTCGTCTGAATTGCTCACATCTCCTTGAGATCTGTCGTCGCCATTGGCAATCGCTTTTACTTTTTGCACTTCATTACTCGATGATTTGACACTATGTATTTTTGTACTGTTTTTTTTTCTTCGGAGCATTCCATTTGGGTCGTAGCAACATAATCGCACTTTGTGATATGTGATAAGATACCCCATATTTGCACGTAATACTCGACAGCCAATACAGTTACATTTGTATCATTAATAAAAATCTTTCCTGCTTTTATTTATTACCTTAGTTTAATTTCAACGATATTTCATGTCCGATCTGGAATGATTAGAGGTACCATAGTTGGTTCATATTCATTCATATTCACTTGGTAGTTGGTTCGATTCTCAAGACAAATTATGACTTTCATCATTTTGGGGTCGTTAAGGTAGTCCTAGACTTGTCTAGAAGAAGAGCAGCACTAACTTAATATATCGGCGTTCCACTGCATGTTATTTCGTAGGCCACATATGAATCCGTTAACCTCTACTATGCTACGAATGGAGTCGAATGCGCGACGCATCCCTGTGAGATCAAGCCGTTTATTGTTTGCTGTTAGAAGAGCATAAGATTGGGTTGAATTATTAGCTATTCAGTAAGATGGCGTGATGAACAGAGTTTTATGTTGATATTTGTCTTGCTATTCATTTTGATTTTCGACTGTATACACATATAACGGAGAAATTCGTTCTTTTGCTAGTATGGGACATTAGTAGTGAAGACGATTCTCATGAAAACCGTTTTCATGGAGTTCGTCGAAATCCGCCAACATTCGTCTATCCTGGCTAGTGATTTATATTCTAAGAGCCATTTCATCAGAAAAATGAGGCTGGTGTAGCTACTGTCACATACGGACACCTCCCCTTATGGTATACCAGTTATTATGTGATGTTCTCGAAAGTGGGTGCACTTTAGTCAAATGATATTGTTTTTTAGTACTTCTATCTATGCGCCGATAATAATGTCATTATAGAATGGCAAAATTCCAGTTCTATATATTGCTAGATAACTGTTGTACAGAAACTATGCTTGCTTGCATAGCCGTTCTCCGCCCACTCCAGTTAGGATGACTTGAGTGGAGTGGCTAAACACCAATATCGTATAGCTCTGTTTTTTTCAACAACACGATCCTAGTGGTTTACTTCATATTCGGAACTTTGCTTTATGTCATAATAAGTGGCGTCTGAAAACCAGACCGAGTATATGGAGGAGAGCTCTTCAAACAAGTTCACAATCTCTGATAGTCACCCTTGTTCAGATGGTTCAAATATGAACCAGGTGTTGCGCTGTTCTCCACCCATTGAGACATTCGTTCTCTTAAACAACCGTAATATAAAGTAGGGGTAGAAGGAGTGACTACTGAAAAGATCGCTTTAGAAGCCGTAAATAGCTTTTTCCAACGTCCAAATGACGTCAGGGTGAAAAAGATGTCCTCTCATTGTGTGGAACGGCGATCATCCTGGTCTCGTATTCGGCATGTTCGGTGGATATCCTACTTAACTCCTGCAGAACATCAGAAATAAAAGCGCTTGTCATGAACACCATTTCCTTGCAATTGATTGTAATCCGCCAACATTCATTTACCCTGGCTAGTGGATGATATTGAACGAGCAGTGCTAATATCGTTGCGCTTGGATCTTCCTTCACATAACTCGCCAAGAGCAGCAAAGATATTTTCGAAATTCAAATCTACAAAAATTTTCTTAAGTGATTAAGTTAACATGAGGTTGTTACATAATTTCTATTCCGCCCACGTTTCAGCGCTTTCGCTATCTACAACGTTGCGGTGACTAGAGTTGATCGTCCAGTGTCGATCACTCTCGAAATGTAGGTGTTCGTTGTTGCATTGAAGCTTTAAATATTTGTGGATATAACCAAAATAATGCTAACATATTTGCGAAACTCCGAACATCAGTTGTTGTGTATTTATAGATGCTTAGAAATTTGCACTTAGGCTCCATAGAATCGCGCAATTCCCAGTAGGATCGTTTCATTTTTTTCGATGACGATTGTCCAAGATAGAGTTTATATGCATCGTGTCCTTAATGCTTGCAATTACTCTCTCCCCGATCCATAAACTGCATCCAACTGCTTGTATCCATTCCATACACAAATTCCAAAGACCTTCGTGGATAACGACTGCGAGGAAAGAATCGAGTGAAAGAAGTGTTGGGATCCACACGATCACACGATATGTGGTAGTCCTGTAAATTCCAAAATAAACAAATGGAATACTAGCCGGGAAGAACTTGCATTATATCCTTTTAATATCTGACAGCCCATGATCACATCTACTGCCCAGATCCAAGCACTGCTTGCGTTTGATTCGTTTTCCTCGAACACATCGTCGCCAAAGGTTTTCCAACATTTCGCGTGCTGTTTCGTCTACCGATCGAGGACTGTCTTCTTCACGAATGTCGTAGAATGCTGGTCGAGTCGATTCTCCATGTAATCTTGGGAAGAGCCGAGCTTAGCCGCTCCCATTTGGAATGAGGGAAAGCATTGGTGAAGGGTTAGAGCCAGAATTGCAATTGAAAATTGCAAAGGCGTATCGAATACTAAGACAATCTTTCCTAAGAACGACATTCTATTAACATCTATTAACTATTAGTCATTAATTGATGTTTTCAAGATAAGGACACGAGAGGTTGTTATTATACTATTAACGGCTAGACGCCAACGTTTCGGCTCTCAGCTTTTGGAATAAATCTAAAAAAAACGATGTTCATGAAGACTGGATTGGTTGTGTGTGCCTCCTCTACGCTCAATTGAAGGAATATCTCCGAATGTTCCAGCTACGTCTATTCAGGTCGGAATGGCAGCATGTAGCACGAGTTTGCTCAGAGTTGAGCAACGGGAATCGTGCAGCTTGTGGAGCTTTCCAGATCATAGAGGATGTAGCGAAGAGGACAAACACTCGATTTTGTGCACACTTTTCGACTTCACGATTACTCCTCTTTTAACGTATGTTTCATTCAGAAACCTGGGCATTACTTATCAGCTGTATCACCTCTAGTTCCGCTAACAGTTGAGTGAATCGCTCAATAGCTAGTAAATCTTCCATTTTTCGCTGTCGTGAGCAACAGTAGCCGAATTGGTTCTGTTTGTTCTAGGGACTTGTTGAGCACCATAGCTTTCTTCTCCGGTTCTCGTAGAAACCTGTGATCACGTGGCTAATGGGCTATCTGCTGTATGTTTCACCTTCCAACGGACTGACGGCTCTTCTTCATCGGTCGTTGTCTACGCGCAATACGTGTCCGGCCTTTTTTTCGACAATTTTGCAGATAGAACGAAGTCTTTAAGTTTTAATGCTTGGTGTAAGTTAGAGCTTCAGATCTCCTCTTTCACTTCAGTGATACGGATGGCAAGTAGTTCGAGTGATCGTTACCGATATCATAGAGCTCATCCTTCTTGGAAAACAATATAGTCATGCTAGTCTTCCATTGAATAGGAAACGTTTCATTTTGACAAGTAACGCGTGAATAGCCAAGCCAGTATGTTTACGAGAACTGCTGGAAGGTTCTTCAGGTGCTAAGATCTTATCATATCCGGGGCTGCTGGTGTTCAATTCCTCACTTCGAAGAAATAGCATGTTGAATTTCGAAAGCGAGAAGCGATGGAACGACATATCCATCCTCTATTTCATCTGAGGGAAGGAGGACGCGGCTGTTGCAGAGACCTGAGTACTATTTGTGCATGATTTTCTCCATTACCCTTCCGGACGCTGTAACTGCTCCGTCTGGGCGTTGGAGTGCAATCGTCTTGGTTTTGTAATTGGCGAAGCCTCGGTGTTCTTAGCAAGCGCTTTTTTCAGCCTCTGCAGCATAACTGCTGCTCTTATCTCCTTAAGAGATTCTTTTATCGCCTATGTTCATTGCTTTGTAAGTTCGAACGTCCGTTCGCGGTTGCCTGCTGCTCTTGCGATTCCACGCTGGCGTATCAGCTGGAGTGTTTCCGGAGGCAGTTGTCTCTTGGTGACTTTCGGACTATCTGCTTTCATATCGCTAAAGTGAGGGTGTCGAATGAGCCCATCGTATACTTCGTCGATGTTATCGACAACGGCATCTTCCCAACAGCCGACTAATAAATTGAATAAGTCTCTGTTTACGGTGGTTCTGCGACTTCGGCATTTGAATTTAGCGGCTTTCTCTTTCCGCGAGAAATAGAATCTTGCACGAAGGAGACAATGGTCTGATCCGGTGTAGAATTTTGGGACAACAGCAACATCGGTTAGGCAAAATCTTCTATTTACTATAATGTGGTCTATTTCGTTATGGTACTCTCCATTGGGAGACTCCCACGTCCAGCGCTGAGGGTGGGGTTTCAGGAATTGCGGGATACCACGGGTGGTCTTGGTCGTCATGATGACAAACTCAGAGAGCCGCTCACCCTGTTCGTTCCATTCTCATTCATGGGTCCCAATGTGACGTTCTTCAGACATTCTTCTTGGTCCAATTTTGCCGTTCAAATCTCCAGTGTTGACCTTGAAGAATGTATGAGCCTAACATGATTTCACGCCCGCTTATGAAGAATAAATAATGCGCAGAAGAACTTCTAAGGGTAATAGAGAGCGAATAATCGCTTAGTTTTCGAGAATCTGTCTAGCTTTCCCTTTTACTTTTTTATAGTTCATTGTTTTTCGTCCAGTAATCAACAGTGCCACCTGTAAACCCGTTTATCATAGTGTAACTCTAGTCTGTATCAGAACTGTGTAGTGGGTATCGCTTTTTAAGCGGACCTACATAATGTCATATTTTTGATACGATATCATTTTTTACGATTTCTGCCCAGAAACTACCCAGTGGTAGTATTGTATGCTTGCGTATGCTGTGCTTATTCAGTTATTGTTGAACTAAGAGTAAACCTTCGTTAGTCTTCTCCTTTTAAACGACAGTTTCTTCTAGAAAAATGAATAGAAAACTTTTCCTACAGATTTTCCTTCCGAGAGAACAGAGTTATTTCAAACAGTCTCATTTCGTCAAGCGACTTTCAGTCACTGCTCGCTTTTGGCAAATTTCTCATTCTTCTGTAACCTATCGTCTATTCTTTGCTGGCTCACAAGAATTCAGGTTTTTTACCTACTTCTTTTGATTTGCTGTTTCCAGGTTATCAGCTCCATATTTACCCCCTTCCAATAATATTTACCCAAAGTTATGCCATTACAAGTAGTGGAACCAGATAGACCACCCTGGTTATTACTGGCAAGTATATGCGTGAAACGCGGTAAGACGTCGTCTTCAACGGGGCAGCCATCTACGTTTTCGAACTCGGCATCCGCTTCTGGCGTCGTGATTATTCAAAATTGAGTATAGCAACTATTTTCAATCAGTGAAGGCGTATTATTTGTTACATTTCAAGAGGAAATTGAGAAAAAGCAATTATTATTAAGTCATGTTGAATCTCCTATCAGCACAAGGGTTGTGAACTGTAGACGTTGAGAATGTAATCCACCATCATTTTTCCTGCTATTAATTCCATTTATTAGAACGTAAAATGAGTGATCACCATTAAATCAACGTCGCCACAGTTGTACGCCAGACCTGTCCAGTTGGTTTTAATTATTTATGGAATATCAAGAGCACTTTTAGTATGATGCACTTTCCCTTACTGTTTTCTTTACTGTTGAACATAACACATCCATGAGGTGCTAACTGCGATCTGCGTGAGTTTGCACCAATCTGTGCATTCACATGGAATACTCTTACTGCTTTCTACGCGCAGGTGACCATGCTAGGATTTGGTGCGAATCCAAGAAATTCTTTTACTCGAATCGTTTACTCGCACTGATAAACCACGAAAACTGTCGAACTTTTCGCGTGTCGGTTTGGCTGCTGCTTGAGAAATGTCGTCTTCTTTATGAACGTCGTTGAATGCTCTTCTTGTCGATCCCCCTGGAGTCCCATGCTATCCGAGCTAGGGCGTTCCCACCTACAGTTCAGGAAGAGAGTCGTTCCTAAACAAGTATGACACCGATTTACCGAACCCAGAGGGCTAGGAGAGTTCGCAAGCCCAGGCGGGATCGAACCAGCAATGTGTTCCTGACGAACCGCATGATCACCACTGCGCTACCAGCCCTTTTCGTATTTACGAAAAGTATTGGAAGATCTGGTTATGTTAATGTTTTACCTGTTTAAATAGTTGTTTAACGTTTTTCTACAATTGGTAAAAAGTCAGAAATAAGTTGAATAGGTTTTTAATTTCAGAATAAAGTTTTCCAATGCTCCTACTCCGTGTTAAGTTTCTTAGGAAAGTTTTCTCAACTATCTGCAAGGTATAATTATAATTCGAGACATCACTACTATTAAAACTATGAATTATAATAATTATTTAAAAAATGAATGGAGAGTTTTGAAGATTGCGCGTCGCCTCTGCGACATGCACGGATGGCCGAGTGGTCTAAGGCGCCAGACTCAAGGTTGCGCTTGCCGCGCGGAAGCGGTTGAGCATTCTGGTACTCGTAAGAGTGCGTGGGTTCAAATCCCACTCCGTGCAAAGTTTTGCAAAAAAGCTTCCTAAACGACACGAAAGATGTAATTAAGAAAAAATAACAGGAAAAAGAAGAAAATCCTTCCTGTGTTGCCAAATCCTTCTCCCAATTTCATTTGTGGCTGAGTTGTCCAGGGCGCCAAACTCAATGTTTCACTTGTCGCGCTAAAGTTGTTATAGCATCCAGATACTCGTAAGGGTGTATTGGCTCAAATCCCAGTCGGTGCAAATTTTTGCAAAAAGCTCAAGTATTCGTAAGGTATAATTAGCTGCAACAAGAAAAGAATGGAGAGCTTTGACCATGGTGAGAAATGGTGACCTCTGCTCCCTGCACGGTGATCGACACCAGACTTCTGCCAGATCAACATCACAGGACTGGTGATCCAATGACTATAGCGCTTTCCTCCATTCATTACTGTTATTTTCAGCTTGATTTCGGATTTTTGTCATATATACTGCAAAGGAAAAGGTGCAGTAAGAGTTCTTACACATTTGCCGTTACTGTTAACATGCTTCATAGAGAACACTTCCCGTTAAATATTCTTTATCCTTCATTTCACCATGTCTCTTACACTGATTATATAGTTCTTTCAGGGGGATAACACAGTAGTAGTGACAGCGGCCATCCGAAGCACGGTGCTGGTTCGATCCTACGTCGAACTGACCAAGATTGCCATCCCCTTGGGGTCAGTATTTGGCACCGGACTTGCTGCTCTCTCTGCGGTCCAATAGGGAAAACGTTCAAGATGAAATGAAAATCCTCAAGCAGCAGCCGAAGCCACACATAAAAGTTCTAAGACCTCAGTGAATGGTGGATGCAAGGAAATGAACTGAACGCGAAATGTGCTGTGATCCGCACAGTAGACATGAACACGGTCGTACAAAATAAAATGAAAAGTGCTTCCTTCACCTCTATTTGATCTCTTCATGTAATCTACTATTATGTTCCAAAATACTTGAGACCCTCTCAACGGTTTACCGCCTACTCGTAGCAAGGAGGTTCCTGGGTGTAGGGCTGCGAGGTACAGCGAGTAAAATCATCCCGCTAGCAGTCTCCCAAGCTGAGAAAGAGTCCGGCGTTTCCCTCAGGAAGTCTAGCGAGAACTAAACCAATACCAGGATTCACCACCGTCCTAGTATCAAGCCAGTCGCATGGTGGCAAATCTCCCTCTGGTCCACTATAGCGACAACTACCTGTAGTTGTGACGACCTGAGGCAGGCTTTGGCCAGGCTGACCTCGGCATTCCAGGGAACCACAATGGCTTAACCAACAAATCTCCGAAAATTGGAGATTATGCTGAAGCCCGCACAACCAGTGAGAACAAGCCATTCAAATATCAAGTATGTAATACTCGATACATAACCCACGTGCTTGCTCCACATTAATACCTGTCCATATCCACTGGGAATGGTAGCCCTACTGCAGTTTTTGACCGTTACTTCCACACCATTATAGAAGTTTCCCAGAAATTTCTTTTTGTTCAGCAGAATTTGAAGAGAGTTTTTGTATTCCCTGAATTTACGGCAAAAACTGACTTGGATCTTATTTGCGCAACTAATGTTCTATTTCCAACCAGTGGTACTGCTGAATAATCAGCGATTGAGAAACAAATGGTAGATTCGAACCTGTATTTTTCAGGTGACATTTTCTTACCAGGCGTTGATCAATCTTTAAAGGATGCGCCATGCATTCGACTTTATTAAGCATCGTTGGAGGTGATTGAATATATATCTGGCTTTAACAATGAATCCCGGTGGCCAACCAATGTATCGAGCTAATGCTGCTATCGCCTCAAACAAATCTGGTACGAATCTGCCGACCCGGAAGGATGGAAGGTTTGGTAAGCCTGGGACGCGGGGTTGATCCTGTTTATTGCAGAGCGCCTCCGAGCATTGTGCTGCACGCGCCGACAATATATTTCATTAATATAAATAAAGTTCACTAGGATCTACTTTTTTACCTACCAGGAACAAGTGTACTCATAGAGGATACGTAAGGGACAACCTTCTTTCGATGCAATTGCTGCTTCCGAGGATACTACTCATCTTCATCTCAGTCCAACTAGAGTCGACCATCACTGGTTATCAGAGAAGACCCAATTTTCGCCGAACATTACTGGTCAAGAAATAGGGGTTCGGATTGAGCAGAGGAAGCATAACGATGCCCCGAAACGACGACTTGTTTTCCATCTGAGGTATGTGGCTTTGTTGATGTAGCAGGTGCACAACAGGTGTATACAGTATTCAGTCAACTTTATTAATGCTGAATGAAGTCCAATGCACTGCATATCCCTTAGGGACTGAGCAATTCACAAAGCTTTACCCCTTCATCACTACATAACTGGAACAGTAAATCCATTCCACATAAAGGGGTTCGTCTAAAATCCACGAATCAGTCATCCGAAAAAACCATTAAATTTCAAGCAGAATGATTTTGATTTCGAAACGAAGCAAAACAACAAAAGAAATAGTTGAAGGAAAACTGGACATAAGCACAATCTCAACTCTTTTATTTACTGCCTTTTTCTTCTTAATGGCAGGGTATGTTGTGAAATATAACTCGTATGAAGTGCTGATATACCTGCAAAACTCCGGACCACAGGTGTATGCAGTGGAGAACGAACACGCGCTGTTGTCCTTACCGGGGAGCAGCGCACTTCACCACTACACCATCCGGGTCCTTCGCTTTGCATGTATCTCAGCTAGTTCTATCAGGTATATCAGCACTTCATACGAGTTATATTGGACATAAGTAAGTTAGCCTACAAAAAAGTATTATAACTCAAAAAATAATGACCAGAAGAAAGCTGAAAATGAGTTTTGCAGCCAAAACACGTATGCAATAGAACAAGCAAGAAACATAGCACAAAACAGCAAGAGTGATAGTTTATCTACAATTTTGGTCGAGGCCGAGTTCCAGATTTTCCCAACTCGGGATTTCCTAATAGTTTGTTGAATCGCATAATGAGATCCATGGCAGGCATACGTTCAGTGTTGAAATGAAGCTTCTTTCCATCTTCTAGAAATCGAAAAATTATACTGGAAAAATGATCAGAGTAGAGAAAAAAATACATGAAAAGAAAATGAAATAACTCATTGTATTCTTGATGAGCAAACGGGTGGTTGTTAACTTATTTTTTTTACTAAGGAAAATGTTGGAAATTGGGCAGATTGCACCTCTTTAAACGCCTGGAATGGTCAAGTTTACTGTAATCTGTCCAGCCGAACACCTCCATAAGAGAAAGTGTTAAATCAAAATTTCAGTCGCACTGAAAACAAAATACCTCAGTATCTTAGAATCTTAATAATAAGTTAGTAATTAATATCTTAGCACACTCACCGCTTTCAGAAAGCCTAGCATTGAGTGTTCTACTTGAAGGTCAACCTCACAAAGTTCACATGGATAGGTCATGTGGCTCTCTAACATTAAAATATTAGTCTAAAATACTGTGTGAAATCACGCGTGATTACGAGGCATTCTTCCCTGTGATTTATTTTTGGATTCTTGAAATTCATCCGGAATCATTCGACAGTTCTGCGCGCTGAACTTTTCGACTTGTTTTCTTTCTGTTTTGCTTAGTTATGGCGACGTTTCGTTGCGTAGATTGCAGTCCACTTGACCTCTCCAGGCTCTGAGGGCGGCAAAATCCGCCGAAACGTCAGCTTTTCGGCAATAAAAAATAAAGTAAAGACCTCTTGTTTGTTCATCAAGAATACAGTGAACTATTTCACCAATCTCGATGATAATAGAACGTCGGTCTTCGAAATGGGGTACCCCATATAGCCCTTAGTGACACGACTAACTGACCAAGTGTAGCAATGAAAAACGGGGGTTGACGATCGTTTCGAATCTCAGCTGCCACTTTAACATTTGGATTGGTTAACCTGACTCTCGGACTCGTAATGCTATGCCAGAACTTCCTAAAACAGAAACAACAAAAAAGTTAGCACAGTGGAATCCCCTCATAATAGAAACTAAGGCAAAATATATTTCATGCAGAACATTTTCTACTTCATGGAGAATATTCTGTATATATTTTCATCAAATCTTAGGCAAACAAGGATTCAGGAACAACAAGGATACTGAAATATGGGAAGAACTCGGAATCTTGATTAGGTATAATGATGATTTGTCTTCTTAAGATCCTTTGCATTAACGAGTGACTGCTGATAGCTCAGTTCGCCTAAAACTGACTGAAAGGACAAAAAGGCAAGCGCCTTGCTCGGTGCAGTGGATAACACCTCAGCCCGTGGCAAGGGTAAACGAGAGATCCTAGCTCAATCGAGGTTCTGAGATGTGCTCGTATCTCAGCATCCTTATTACATTCCACATAATACCTTGCGATCAAAGAGAAAATTGGCAGTAAATAAAAGTTAAAGCATAGAGTTAGTCCAAACCTTATAGACGAGGTATCATGGTGCAACGGATCCAGCGATATATTAACAGATTTGACAGACTTCAGATCCACGGCTCGGATAGCAAGAGCCAATCGTTCGTTCGGCCTCCACCTCACTCCATACCGAATGCGCTGCCACATTTGACACATCTACAAGTATTTGAAACTCCAAAATTGATGTTTACACATCCGCCTTGAGATCTACCGCATGCGGCGACTTTTTCTTTCAAATTTCTCCATTGAGGCCAGATTTTTCATAACATAACAATATTCTTTATAACTAAGAAATATACTTCTCTAAACCTAATTCAGAGGAAAACGAGAGGAGTTGGAGGCCACCTTGTACAACATTATAAACAGGAAAGAAGAATAAAAAAGCTGCCAAGGCTAACCACAATGTTGGATCAACGACACTCCTTCTAAACAACTCCGATAACGAATCTGAAAATGCCAGTTTGATAAAGGATACAAGGATGAAGCTTTCGGCGTTGACCAATCCCTAAGGCGTGCGCCACGCCTTCAACTTCATTGTCTTTGGAGGTGACTGAATACATATCTGGCCTTTACAATCACTCACGGTGGCCTAGCGATTTATCGAACCAGTGTTGCTACCCTCCGAGACAAGTATGGTGTCAATTTGCTGACCCCGGAAGGATTAAGAGCTTGGTGAGTGTAGAACGCGAAGAACCACCCTATGTGCTCAGCAGAGCGCCTCCGTGCACTGCGCCTCACGCTCTCCAGAGATGAGATGAGAGAGATAGAGAAAGGAGAGAGATGGAATAGCGCCCAGCCAATATATTCATATATCCCAAGTTACAACTGTGGCGAATAAATCCACAAACTGCAGCGCATGCCGGTAAGCATAGCTGCTGGACAGTAATGCTACATCACTGATGATACCGATTATTAAGGAAGGAATTTGTACCCTGATAGTCGATATGCACTATTCACATTGGTCGGAAACTTGCTCCAGGAAATGATCTATTTGATGGAATTCCCAAATATAACGACATATGGTCCGTCAATAAGGAATGGAGAACATCCGAAGTCCAAAAAAAGAACCAAAACTTCACAAAAACGACAAGTTAACGGGTAGAAGAGAAATCACTACAATAACGTCGATCAATGAAGAGATCATTACCACCACCTGCAACGTTGATCGAAAAGATCTCACCCGCTTAATCCACTATAAAAAAAAGGACAACTCTCTCGGCGTTGATCAATCCCTGAGGGATACGCCACGCATTCGACTTCATTAAACATCGTTTGGAGGTAACTGGATGCATATCTCGCCTTTACAATAACTCGGGGTGGTCTACCAATGTATAGAGGCAGTGCTGCTATGCTCCTGGACAACTCTGGTACTAATCTGACTACAGAGGGATGGAAGGCTTGGCGACCCAGGGGCGCGAGGATAGAAACCACGTATGTGGCACGGCGCCTCCAAACATTGCGTCACACGCGCCCTGCTTAATCCACTATATCCTGGGAAGTGCCGATGCAGTAGCAAAAACGGTCAGAGAGTCCAAACCTATGAACCTACTAGTATTCAAATTGAATCATTGGAATGGCTTAGTGTCCAAATTTCTCCTTTGTAATCAGACCCCAAATATCAGCGATGACTGTACCACAAGAACGCATTAGTTTTGTGTATCCAAGCAAAATCTGACGACCTCCACCAGACTGTTAACGGAAGCTCAAGGATCTTGAAGCAGTACTCTTCCCAAGCAGTTAGTCCTGACTTCATCCTTGTACTACTTTCACAGATTTTTCTTCCTTGTAAATGGTGACGGCAAGTCCACAACGTCCCACATTCTCTCGGTCTCTTTAGCCTCCAATTCGTACAAACCTTGTATTCACTACCACAACAATGCTGAAATATCCGCAAAACTGCGGACCGCAGGTGTCTGCGGTGGGGATCGAAAACTTTATTACCCCTTCCGGAGGCTAACGAGTTCACCACAACGCCATGCGGGTACTCCGTTCCGCCTTTTCTCAGCCGTGGTGGTGTATTCATTGTTGCTGGAATTTAACAAAAGATGAGTACTCCAAACATGCTACCAACTATGCTAAAGAAACGAACAGTAGATGAAACAAGAGGTGCAAAGAACATCTTCTAGGTGAATGGTAAGACGTAAGATTTCCTACTATAGAATTACAACATTTGTCTAAGGAAAGCTATCAAATTACTGCCAAATATCTCATGAAGATAATAGGAAGTAGAAGAAGCAATCTAGAAACGTGAGCCATCAACAACAAATGTAAAATTCCACGTCATTGCTCATGCATGAGTCATATTTGACTCACAACAAAACCTATAAGTTGGAACGACCTCAGCCAACGCATTTCCGACAAAGTGCGAAACGATTTATGGTCGGTGTACATAACCATTTAAAACCAGAAAACGCCAAGTAAAAAAAATTTTACACTCTGTTTATCAACAACACATCAATTAGATGAAAACAAAAAGGAACAACAAAAGATGTACAAAGAACATAATACAACATAAAAAGAACTTGTCACAAAAATCAACAGCTACTTCAGAGATGGTGGTCCTAAAAGCAAGTAGCACTGAAGAAATTAATGGTTCGATTGCCATTCTTCTACAAGCCGACAAATAAAGTCAACATTACTGTGCATTTGATCCACCGTTTCCGACTGGAGTTCATGAATAATACCTTCTTGATAGGATTCCCGTGCCTCTTCGAGTAAAGAACCGAAGATTTCGCACTCTATATTCTCTCTTATCTAGAAGAGATAACTGTAAATCATAAAACGATTTGGCATAAGGAATTTGTAAATCCCAACCCAAACTAACCCCGTTAACGAATTCAGATTGTATGCAAATGTTAACAGTGCCAGATTTATGCGTGACTCAGGAAGTAATAGCAAAATCATTGCAATCCAACCTCAGTACACTACCACAGAAAATTTCGCAAAGATGATTACATGCTTTCCTGGATAATTGGATGGCCCATCCTCATTGGCAGGGGTGAGGGCCCCAGCGTAAACTATGTTTTTTCTGAGCTTTGCCGGTTTAGCCATTGTTGTTCTCTGGAGTCCTAAGGTCAGGCTAGCCAGTCTGCCCCAGATCGTCACCACCACAGGTACTCGCCACCCATGCGGATCAGCGGAAGATTTACCACTATGCGACTAATTTGATACCATGACGTTAGCTGGGGTTCCTGATAGGAACGGCGGACTCCTCGTCAGTTTGAGAGACCCTGCCGGGAGATAAATCCTCCGCTGTACATCGCAGCACGGCACCCAGGAACACCTAGCAGCCACGATAAAGCGGTAACCCGTTGAGAGGGTACATTATACATCTTCGTAAATCCTGTTATACAGTTTCAAAACAGATCTTTTGCAAAAATAGAAGAAAACTGTTCTCCGAGATAGATAGGGGAGACAACAGACGTGCATTCATATCTCAAATTCAGTGCTCAAACGAGAACATTTCTAGATGGATTATCTTCAACTGTTACAGACAACACGAATAACAAATAACCTTGGTTGGTTCGTACCCTCTTTGTGCAAGACGGTCATATAACAATGTATTTGAACATCGTAACACAATGACGAAGTCGAACCACCTCTCAGGAAAGAAATCAACACCATGATAGTCCACAATCACACCGCCAGATGCACTGTTCATTCGATCCTCACAAAGAAAAATCGTAAAGCATAGAAAACGTTGTGGTATCACGAAAATGCTAGAACCTCTAAATGATCCAACAACTTTTCTTCGTCCAGCACATGGCAGTGATACTGCGGATCAAATTCTCCAACAAGGCCGTGTTCTCGTACTTCCTTCCCAACCTGCAAATATATCATAGTTAGTCTATTCGATCCAACATTTCCAATCCTGAGCATGTCCAGATTCTGTGGAAGGGAAGCTTTCTAGATGACCTTTTAAGAAGACATGGTTCTGCAGAGAATTTTGAAAGTACTGACGAGTAAATCTCACCACAACGAAAACCACCTACTGTTTTCAGTGTCAGTTATACTGAACTGAAAAGACACAGAGAAAAACACCTTCCATAACTGATCCATAAAAGCTCACCTCAATAAAGTCAAACTGGAGTCGATCCGCCAAATCTTGACCCAGTGTTGATTTCCCAGTACCAGGTGTACCAGTAATTAGAATGTTCGGCCTACGCCGTGAGTCTAATGGCATTTATTCCAAATACTACAATACTTATTACTTTAAAGTCTACGACATGGTTATGTAAACTATCGAACGATGCAAAAGTGCCGTAAAATAAGGAAGACACTAACACTCCGAATCTGACAGCGAAGGAACGATGGCCAATCGGATAAGCGGGGCAAAAGTTGGAGCAGGACAGTACCCAACAAACCACTGGTTTAGTACTGTGGGATATACTATAGTGAAGAATTGCACGACGTTATAAAACAGCAAAAACACAACCAGGTATAATAACCTGCCAGGAATCGAAAAATTATCAAGCAGTTCTCGGAAGAAATCGTTTATACAGTAAAATAAATAGATCCGAATCATATGTATCAAAATAAAGAACTGAAAAGCGACACAAATACGAAACGTTAGAAACCATATTTGACTTGCTTCACTGCTGGCTTCTTAGTCTCATCAATGGTCAAGTTTTGAATTGCAACGAGAGTTTCATTGACCTGAAACATTTACAATGCATCAAAACCTTTTGCTTCAATTCAAGTGTAACTGCTAAGAACTGTCACGAACCATCAAGATCAAAAATAAGTCATTGATTCATTACTTTGCAGTTAAAAACTTTCAGAGTCACCTATGGTTGTAACATGAGGAAAATATTAAATGAAAAACATTGCTACTGTTTCGTGTAACCTAAAAATGAGATGCAGGATAAATTTATAAGAAACTTTTCTACTCCACGTAACACCGTACAAATGGCTGGTGCTGCTTTCGACAACTGACAATAGTTTCCCGACTACATCAGCATTCGAGGAATCAAAAAAAAAGACCTCACCAATTTGTAGAAAACAGTTTCTTCCTTATCGACCATGTATTACTCTGTGCGGCGGCTATCCACCAACTAACTTAAATACTTACAACAAATAAACGGCTCTGTAGAAGGCGAAACCGCCGAAACGTCAGCAATTGTGTTCTAATAAATTCTATATTAACAACCTCGTGTCTGCTTATTGATGAAAAACATTGAATTATCAATTAATGCCGAGGTTAACAGAAAGTCGGTCTTGGGAGTTTCTTCCTTCATCTACCATCTCTAGGCTTCGTAAATATTTTCCGGAAAACCTTCAGCTTTGAATTTGTTTGGTATTAAAATCTTTTAAAAAAACTAAAATGAAACTGTAAGTTTAACATTTCCAACACAGAGCACCAGCCAAAAACACCAACGAGACATTGTGGAATACCAAAACGACGTGTTGAACTGGACAAAAACGTTCTTACTCAATTGTCTCTATATTATTTGCAACAAGAAGGGTACCGATGAAAAGTAATGTAGAAAAACACTCCACATGGGCTATAGGAATCAGAATTTCACATTGGCAGAACAAAAAACGTATCTAGTTGGCAAAGAGCCGCAGATTCTAATGGTTCCTGCTTAAATTAATAGAGCATATTATGCGGTAATATGTCCTGGTTTAAGCTTAATGGAGATCAATAGTTTTGTACTACATGTATTGAAATATAGGGACAATAACTCATACGTGAGAGTAAAGTACATCGTATTCATCGATTTCAACACAATCTTTTTGACACTTCTTCCGCTGTGGTTTTTTGCAACGCTTTGTCTCCTGTGTACGGATTAAAACTAATGCATATTGTCGTGAAATGATTGACAATGTCAAGTTGGGCGGCTTCGATTCGGTCCAATTGATCGGTTATGTACCTTCGATGGAAAAAGAGGATTACTCGACATTTTCTACTCATATCCGTTTAAAAAAACTCGCAGTGAAAAGCTAGCTCATTCTAAAATGAAACAACATGAAATATTATGTAAAAGTATGAAGTTACTACAACAAACACATCACACAGTAGCTGTTATCTGGTTTAGGCCTAGGTTTAGAGTTAGGTGTTGTTATCCTCAATGAGAATACAACCTTGGAAGCCACGAACTCTTAAAGAAGTTCGAGATACACAGAATTTTTTGACATACGAAACTGATTCATATGCAGTTTCCAAATTACAACGTTTCTATCGAGCTTGTTTAGTCAACCTTCTAATTAATTTGGCTTAACAAACACTAACGAATATTTGCGAAGTTCACTATGTCGGTGTTTCGAACCACTTTGAATCAATTTTAGATAGCAAAAAAATAAGGCTTTAAATAAACCAACAACGCACATTTGTTTGGGTTTTTCGAAGTGCTTCAATGTTAAGAAGTCGCAGAATTCGAGCAGCGGCATTCAATGCGCCATGCTTTTGATCAGGCAGATCCAATGGAAATGAACGCAATTCAAATATATTCTGAAAGCTAGATGACAGAGCCAAACAAATTCTAAATAGAAACAAGAACTTTGGATTATGAAATAGACTGTCAAAATGGAGACGTTCAACTCCAGTGGTACTTGGATGGTCCGTCTTCACTGGTTGTGCAGGCACTAGCATAATTTCCACTTTTGTCGGAGTTTTGGTGGTTTAGCCACTGTGGTTCCATGGAGTCCCAGTGTTAGCCTAGCCAAATTCGCCCCAGGCCGTCACCACCGCAGGCTGTAGCAGCCTTTGTGGAACAGAGAGAGACTTACTACCATACGACTTTTGATAACAAGAGGGTGGTGGAACCTAGCATTGGTTAGGGAGGTGTTCATCTCTAGCGATATATAATCTTAAAAAAAACTTACAGGAACATATCCGGACTTGTGCTCGGTATTTCGCTCATTAATGATGGATTGATTTAAATTTTCGTTAACAAAAAGACACACAGCCTGAACATAAATACAAACAGTTATGACATTATATCATTTTGAAACCAAAAAAGTCCAGTTCGAAAACCAACCCCATCCATTGAGGCTGGTAATAAAGCACACCACAAAAACCAAAGAAACAAAAAACAAGAAGAAACAGGAGACCTTCAAACAGACAACTGGATCTGGATGTTCGGCGATGCCTATTAATTGACACAAATCCTTCACCTTAGAAGCAAACTCAGGAGAGAAATCTGAAAATAGGATATTGCATTAGTAGTATCGAACGAAAGTGAGGAATCTGGAAATAAAACATTGCATTAATTTGAATAGTTGAAAAGCAATGTCTACAAATCCTAACGAAATGTGTTGTCCATTAACAATTTACAAAAACGGTAGAAATATGGCATGGTATTCGTTTGCGTTAGCAATAACTTCATCCACTCTTTTCAATACATTGTATTAACAAAATGAACAATTCAACCAACAGTCAATAAGGTTTAATGGATTCTGATTCCGCTGAGCATGTGCGGAAAGAGACTCTTCCTTTTCACGGAAAACAGCGCCAGTTATATTATGTGCGTCTTCTAAAAAAAAGTTCGGATATAGACATTACCATGCAACTTCATAAGAGAAAAAAAGACGTACTACATTCGTCGTATTTCCTATCAATAATGACGTCTAAAACTGCATTTGCGATTACCTTCCTAGAGTTCGATACCTCTGCATTAACTCCAACATCTACGAGAAACTAAAGAAAGATATCAAATCAAATAAAAAAGACAGTCCTGAGGAATATTTCACGTTTGCTAACTTTTCATTTGCTGAATGCTACAGTTTTTTACTGCTGGTAACCTCAGTTGAATTGGGTTCAATGCTGATATGTGCTTCCCAGACCAATCCCATTGAATGGTGATTGATGATGGCATTCGTAGAAAGGAAACCAGTTGAGAGAAAGGCGGAACGAAGGACCCGCATGGGGTGGTAGTGAACGCGTTAGTCCTCGGAAAGAGTAATAGCCCTCTCGTTTCCCAACGCAAACACCTGAAGTCCAGAGTTTTTCAAATACCTCAGCACCATTATGGTTGTATTTCACGTGATTTACTGAATGTATTGAAAAAGCACCAATAGAGTCTCCGTCATGATGAATGTTTAGCACTTAAGACTCTCACACAATGATTTAATATTCAGTGAATTGTCCAGAAATGTTTCACAAACAGAAAACAAATCTTGCATTAGTTAGAAGAGTTTAGTCAAAATAACTCTAAACACGAGGGTAGTGCTGTGGTTACCGCTCCTCTCCAATCCACTTGGAAACCTTTCAGCTCGGCCAACTACAAAATTGTACACATCTATAAAGAAGAGGAAACCTTCAAGCAACAACTGAAAGAACACTTGGAATGTTCGAAGGCGTTTGTGGAAGTCAAATGCGAGGAAAACCTATCAGATGCAAAAAATGCTGAGATTAGTACACTAGACGTGACGATGGGCCATGTAAAACTTAAAAAATGAAAAGAAAAACTCAAAAGCTGCTATGACAGAGGATGGTGTTAGAACTATAACTGCTCCGTGAACAAAAAACTTTTTTCACAATCTTAACCGTTTTATTTACTGCCTACTCTTTTTAATGGCAGAGTATATTGAAATATAACTTCAATGATGCTGAGATAATCGCAAAACTCCGCAGGTGTACCCGCTAATGGATGATTGCTGTGGCAAAGATCGATAGGTAGAACTGAGAGACATGCGAAACGAATGACCCGCATGGTGTGGTGGTGAACGCGTTACTCCCCGGAAATGACAGTAGCGCGTTCGTTCCCCACCACAGACGCCTGCGATTCAGAATTCTGCAAATATCTCAGCATCATTGAAACTTTTCTTCTTTACCACGTACAAGAATTTGAATTATTCCGAAGGCAAATGGGCTCACATCAGTTAGTAGCAATTTACATCGTGAAGCAAAAAATTGGGCGTCAAATAGATGCAGCAGCCAGAGCGGTTTAACTGTCGTGGTGCTGTCAAAAAATAACTTATAGGAAAGGTGATCGAACACTGGCGCTGTTGGTACCTTTTGAGTGAGCGAAGTTGAATGAAATACTGGAAAACTTTGGCTCAAAATGAAGACAAAAGGAGAGCACATTTGTGTACGGTCAAGTCACCAGAGAGGGGACAAGGTCAGACGTAAAACAAGTGAAAGATGTCTCGCAAATGGCCGCGAGCACATCTTTAAAACCGAAAAATCAACATTTAAAAACTGAAGTTGAATGGGAGAGTGTTCCAGCTTTTTGTAAATATTTTACTGTAAAAAATGAGTAAAACATGACGTAAATGAACCTGAGAAAGCATAGTGGACCACTTTGATTCATCTGGTTCGGACCGAAGGGCAGCCCACCAATCACTGGATTTCGACTTGAAATACATAGCATCCATATCACCAAAGAAACCTTTATAGTCGGAGTCAACTTAAAGGATAAAAATACGTTAAAGATTAAATACGCTATTCGAAACGCTAGCACTCACCATCACAATCTAAGAAATCCTTCTTAAATCCAACAACCTTCAACTTTCGACTAGACATCTAGAACCCCGAATTCCTACAAACGTAAAAGACTTTAAAAAACGACAGAGAAAGGATGGTTGCCGACCTTTGGCGCAGAAAATAAAAATCAAGCCAAGTGATAGAAAAATTTCTAGAACAGTTTCAATAATAACAAACAATAACAACCACAAGATGTTGAAATATTCGCAAAACTTGAACCCCGGCCAGATTGAACCACTACTACGCTTTCCGCGGGCTCGCGTATTACACACTTTACCACGGAGGCTCTTGTTGTGCGTTCGTCTCAGCAAGTTTTCTACCTAACTTAAACAATAACAATGACACGAAATAGGAGTGTATGGAAACAGAGACAAAACATTTTACTGACGAGACAATAAGACGAATACCAAAGGAGTAATCAAAAATACTAACTGAACAACTCCCATACAGCAGAAATAAAACGAACCAGTTAGCCACCTTAAACGAAGATACAGAATATCTTAAAAATAAGAGATAAAAACTATGAAAACAAAAAAATTGACTGTTCACACGTGGAAATCAATTCATAATCCTGAAAAATACATGGTGACAGAAATGGTAATAAATGGCGGGAAAAGCAATCATACCCTTGTCACCGTTCGCTTCTCTCTTCTTTTCAAGTTTCTCTCGTTTCTGTTCGACACTGTCACATGTCTTTCTTTCGGCGAATTTGATATATCGAGATGGTAATGGACGATCCTCAACCCATTTCAATGTAAGAAAACTCTACTATTTATTAAGTTTGAGTAAAGAACGTAAACAAAACCTGGGTAAGTGAACCCTAGCAAAATATTACCTGTGTGAATTGTAAAAGTCCCTTATCGAGATCCATATGCGATGCCAAAGGTGTTTCAATAATTCCGTTGAGCATATTTTCAACAATCCTTGCTCTGTAACAAAAAAACAATCAAAGTGATCCAAGGATACAAAAAGTTTAACAGAATCAGCTGGGACGATCATCAGCATTGATGGCAAATGTTCCTGAAAAACCATCGTTTTGAATACCTTGTCTGCAAATCAGCCAATTTGCATTGAAGAGAAGAAATAGTTTTTCCTAATGTAAAATCATCATAAATCCACTCTAAATGTGCTGAGTCGAACCTAAACGTATTAGAAAATCCAAAGTTACTACCAAAGGAAAAAAAACTATAGGCAGCAAAAATTACCTGCACTCATACAGACAAAGAGGAGTTGCAGCCGCCAATGCATAGTGCGGACGAGATGGCGTTTTAACAACATCAAGTAAATCCGAAATAAGCTGAAAGTGAACGACAAAATATAACACTCTGTACAAAATATGCTAATACAACATGGTCTCCCAACGACCTACAGCTTCATTGAGGCTGGTAGGTGTTTCTGGGCCTCTGACTTCGATGTACAGCGACGGGAACCATCCCCTAGCAGGGTCTGTTAAGCTGAGGAGGCCGGCGTTTCCGTCAGGAAGCCCAGCTAAGCGTGAACCAACACTAGGATCCACCAATTATTCACATGGTGGCAAATCTTTCTCTGATCCACAAGGACGGCGACTGCCTGTGATAGCGGCGACCTGGGGCAGACTTTGGCTAGACTAATCTCGGGACTCTAGGGAACCACAATAGCTAAAGCAGCAAAACTCATAAAAAGTTGGAGTTAAGCTGAGGCCCGTATAACCAATGAAGACGGGTCATAAAAGTATCGATGTATCCAAATAATACCAGACGGGAAAAAAACTCACCTCGGGTTTTTCATTTCCTTGACCGATTTCATGAAGTACCATTACAATGTACCGGATCATATGCCATAAAAAACCACTCCCTTGGATAGTTAATTCTACCAATTCGTTCCGTGATGAACCAGAAAACGACTCACTGAAGAATATTCCTTATATACTATAATAATATATGACCAAGTAATATTCAATAAAATATGACTGGAACTACAGTATGAAAACTACTCCGCAATATTTTCAAAGGCTAAAATACTCAAAGTTGAAAAAAAAATATGCAACAACTGCTCTATATAATAACGTTCCCAGCAAAACCACATGAAGATACTAATTTTTTATTCGAGCCAACGGAATACTTAACTGCACGCAAAATATGACTACCATTCCGATTTGACCAGATTTTTTCTTCTAGTTTCAATTCCCAGTTCATTGCAGATCTGGGCTGCTCACATCAATCCCGTTGACAGGTGATTGCTGATGGCACTGGTAGATAAAAAACTGGCCAAGAGCAAGACGAAACGAAGGTCACGCATAACGTGGTGAACGTGTTAGCCCCCGGAAAGGGTAACAGCGCGTTCGCTCCACACCGTAGATACTTGCGGTACGGAGCGTCATATTTCAGCATCAAAGTGGTTATGTACACATAGTTTATCGACGAACGACGAAGTTGACAACCTTTCGCACATTCCAGAGAAAACTCTCAAAATCCTTAATCATTATTATGAAAAAATGCTTGGCTCCAACGTCATAGCAACACAAAAATGAAGTATGTGGTAGGTTCGAAAGCTCATAAAATTGATGAAAATTGTACTAACAGTTTGTGATAAAGATACAGAGTCTGTCATAATTACTCGTTGGTTAGATGTTTAAGTTAAGAAAAAACATCTCAAGGATGGCTTCCTTTGCTGCCCATCATCTCAATAGGAAAGACTTTGTATTGCGTTCATATCTAGAGAACCCTTGACTTTCGGTTTCCTGTCACTGCTCTACCATAGATATTTCGACGACTATTTTGTCACCTGCTGCACAGAAGAGGGGATGACATATGTTTTGAGCTGTTGAACTAACAATCGAGAGCATGGGATTCACTCGAGCGAAACCAAAAGAAACTTGCTACAATTCTTTAACGTTAAAATTAACTTATCCGAAAACGATTGCATCACAAAGTGGAACGAAATCGAAAAAACAGAGAGAAAAAAATACTGGCTCACTACCTCACTTTCCACTCTTCACACACAAATAAGGTGCTTCGAACAGCCACCAACGTGTGCACAGGAGGAAAGTAAAAAGAGGAATCTCTAAATATGGTGCGAAAAATAGCCATTTCCAACCACTACAACAAGATCCGACCAAAGAAAGGTCCCGTTGAAAACACCCTTTGATCTCCCATGAAGTAAACACAGCTAGAAAACGATGCTTAAAAAGGTGTGGTCCAGATAATTGAGTAGCAGTGATTGAGATACTACCGAACATTCTAAAACACAAGTTAGTTTGTAACCATTTGTTTTACCGTCTATGCTATACGCCAAATTGCCTAATTTGTCGCAATGGTAGAAACGACTATTGGATGAGTTCGGTAACGGTGTTCCTGATCTCTTTTACAGCATGTGGGGACGAATATATTGCTGAAACGGATACACAATTCTGTGTCCCTATGAAATAGTGCCTAATTGGGGAAATTAAAGTCGAACGAAATATTCCACTACGCGGTCATAGGGTACAACGGCGTAAAGCGGTAAAATTTGAAACAAAAGTCGCTACCCATGCAAAAAAAGAGGATCAGAAAGTTCGGCATGTGAAACTCTTGAGGCAGTTTGAATAAATTCTAAAAATCCAGAGACGGATAGCAGAAGTGCCTCTTAATGACACGTGACGTCAACCCGATGTTTTGACGTGAGCCAAGGACATTCTTCACCCATGTAAACTCTATGCGGCTAGTCTCTACTAGTACATGGAAGACCTAAAAAACGTTGTTGTTTAAAATAAACTCGCTCCCGTGTGAAAGGAATTTAGGTTTTGATTTTCTTTGCCCCGATTGCGAAAATATCTGACTGAATAGATTGCCTGCTATGCATGCTTGACGTTTCCAGGTTCCAGCGAAATCCGCTGAAATGTAAGCCTTTGTCCAGTAAATATGGTTTCAACAACCTCCTGCTGGACTCTAAAAAAACAACAAAAACAGTAAACCCTAAAGCACCACCATCAATGGGTATAAAGCTTTAGAGTTCTAACGCTCTCAAATCCTTAAAAACTTAAACCTTAAACCGCCATCACCATAGGGTATGCATTTAACAATGGATGAATACGATACGGATATCGTGGGATTCTCTGTTTTTAAGCCAGAGTTGCTATGAAAGAGCATTAAACCACCAGGATGCCATGACGAAATGATAGTGATCTGTTGACAAGAGTTCTGAAAAGATGACAAAAAACCAGTTAGCTCTTGTTAAGCTAGTGAACTAATTTATTACTCAAGTTTTTCAAATGGAAAAAAAAAACAGAGACAAACCACGCACTTTGCGGATATCGGCTCTATAGAAACTTCAAATAGTTCACGAACAAAAGACATATTAACGCGCTTCTCGTTCATATCCACCTAAACCTTAAAAGTACTGTGAAAAGTGAATGAATAAAATCAACACAAAGTATTAAAACAGATTCTAAATACCCTGATCTTATTGATTTTGGCATCTTTGCTTATTTTCTTCTTTTGGTGCTACGTGGTCTAAAATATCCACAACCCAATGATAAACTCCACCGCAGTGAAATAGAACACCAAGACCAAGAATAGAAGCAAACTTACTCGCTGCTTCACCAACTTTTAACAACTCTCTTTCCTACTATAAGATTACCACGATAATAAAGCGTTATAATCCAGCTCACAGTTAAAGTTTACTTCTCTATGTGATCAAAATTATTATCAGACGGCGTTATCGGATGTTTGCTTTCTTTCATTCTTCGAAAATAATTCGAACACCATTGCAGTGTAGAATGAGCAGTGCTGCATAGAAGTTGGTAGCGCTATTACTCGATACTTTCAGCTGCTTTACCAATACAATTTGTAATTCACTATAAATAAGTTATGGGCGCATGTAGCGCAGTGGTCGGAGGCGCCCTGTAATACACACCGGATCAGTCCTCACACCCGTGGGTCACCACGACTTTTATCCTTCCGGGGTCAGCAAATTGCCACCAGACATGTCTGGGAGGATAGCAGCACTAGCGCGATATATCGGTAAGCCACTGCAAGTCACTGTAACGGCTAAATACCCATTCAGTCACCTCCAACAATGCTTCATGAAGTTGAAGACACGACGCATCCTTCAGAGACTGATCAACGCCGAAAGCTCTATCCTCAACCCTATCCTAATGCAGCCGCAGTGTGATAATTCTCGACGAGCTTAGTGACGTCTTACGTTCTAACACTCCCACCAAAACTGTTTCTCAGGTTTGACGCGGACTGGTGGACGGTCAAATTTCAATCATAATGGACCTGCTGACCTTTCTAGATAAACAGTTACTTCTTTGTTAACTCGAATGCTCCATGGGTTATAAATATGAAAGGATTGTAGAAAATGCACCTCTCTATCGTGCTGTGGTCATAAATAATATTATATGTTACTATGATACATCATTCAAACACACTACTATCAGCATTTGGAAGTGTTTTGCAACCTATGGATTTCAATTTCAGTATTTTTTGTACCCGTATAATCTACATCATTGATTTCACTTACTACAACAGTTAGAATTGAAACAGCTTTGTAAATGTACAAAAAAAGATAAAAAATAAAGCTCTCCGCGTTGATGACTCCCTGAGCGATGTGTCAAGCTTTCTACTTCATCAAGCATCGTTGGAGGCGATAGAATGTATATCAGGCCTATATAATGACTTACGGTGGCCTGCCGTTGTATCAAGACAGTGCTGTGATCCAACTAGACAGCTCTAGTACCAATTTGCTGAGCCCAGAGCGATGGAGAGCTTGGTGAGTCTGGGACGTAGGACCGATCCCATGCGTACTGCAGAGCCTCCTACCACTGCGCTACACGAGTCTGTTGTATATGTATAGGTTAGATACATGTAGAGTATATCCATAGTATATCGATAGTACTCAAATGGTTAAGCTTTTTGTACATTTCTAAGTGCAGAATAGAGATTTTCCCGGCTAACACCCAATACAAGCAGTTAACCGATAACAAAAATTATCCGAAAATAGTTTTATCTGTTAAAATTAACGACCGGAGAGAAAATGAGACGTAAAGGTCTCATACCGGCCACCCATGCGAAACCATTATAGCACCTATAGATGTCATTTGTCGCGAAAGTATTAAATAATACTCTATGTTTATAAGCACACGAGAAAAAACCTAACTTTTGGAAAGAAAGAAGTACCTGACAGAAATTTCTAAAATCATGCGTTCCTACAAGCAAATTGCACGCTTCTCGCATAACCTTAACAAAAAATCTAGGTACGGAAACGCACTAGATACACCGAATGAGGGTTCGAAAAGCAAGAATATAGTACCTCGAGGTTCAAATTGGCCCTGGGTAGACTATATTTGTACACCCGCATATTACACGCATGTCTTGCAGAAAAGTCTCGAGGTACTGGTGCCCATCTAAAAGTTATTTTCGAATAATGTAAATAAAAGCATAGTGGCCTCACTCAAGGAATCGAGAATATTGGTTTAGCCAGAAGGAAACAGGAGAAGACCCAGAAAATCTACATAATTGCGAATTAGTGACACGTTGACTATTCAAAGATAACTCAAAAAAAAAACGGAAGGAATGTAATGAGGGAATTTCATTGTCTGTGAAAACAAATGGATAACCTCGAAATCTGGCACACCTGCGTGAGATCAATCATAGTTGAGAAAAATAGTTTTCTTGTTCAGCAAACGCGAGGTTTTTAAACAGCATACATTTACTTCCATAGAAAAACAATACAATACAACGCTACCTGACGTTTCGGCAGTATCGCTTTCTTCAGAGCCTGGAAGGGTATACTGATATACAATCTATTAGGCCAAACGCTTCAATAACACTTACAAAAAGACGAAAAACTCTCCGGTAATTACATAATCAACAACTTCTTGGAAAAAACCACCGCTTTTCCGTGACTTCCAATGAGGAAGTTTAGAACAGCTGATTATAGTCGCATGTTGTTGACGACAGCACCATCCCACATCAAAAATCGATGGGAACATACGGGATCAGGTCGCGTATAACCTCTGGGCATTCGTCCCTGCTATTCATTGTAGGGTTTTTGGCATTGGTCCAAAAACCCTCAAGGAGTTTTCGCGCTGGTGTTTTAGTCTCCTGTGCAAGGATATTGACTTTTACTTCAAAATCATCTCCGCTATGCTTTTGTATCCTATGCTTGCCTAGTGGGGTGCTTCGTCTTAGTTTTCGTTTGCTATCTAGGTGTTCTTTTATACGGATACACAAAGGCCTGCCCGTTTCGCCAGTATATTCATCTCCGCAATTATTACAAGAGATCAGGTATATCGTACCTGAGATAAAAATCAAGATGGAGCGACACTACCACCATCTCCTTTCCCAAAAACGTTCATTAGACAGCAGGACCCTAACGATGGAGTTGACATAAAATTCCGCGTGTTTTCGGACGGCGTTCTCAAAAACCATGATCACTACCGCCATAGAAAGTTTATCTCTAACCTTACAGCCGCACAAAAATGTTGCATGCGGGAAATTAGAGAATTAATAAACTCGAAAACAATAAGATTGTCTGTTAGTGATAAGGGGGGAGAGTTCGTAGTTATTCCTCGCCAGCTGGATGTTGAGGTAACAAAAGAACATTTTAGTGATGCTACCCTCTATCACCCATCCTCTGAAAAGGAATATAAAAGTCAATGCCGAAAGCTAAACAATCAACGGGTCAGCGTGGCAAAGGCAGCAGGTTTAAAATCATCGGTTATTTCGCACTTTAAAATCGATAGACCAACATGTCCCGTCCTATACCTACTTAGTAAAACACATAAGTTGGTTTCACCTGATTATCATGCGTCAACCAATCCGTCATCAATTAAAGTTAGACCGATAATCAGCTGTGTAGACAGGCCAACGGATAGAATAACCTGGTTTTTAAGCCTGATACTTACACAGTTGCTTAACCACATTCCAGCTCACCTCACAAACACCCAAATGTTCCTGGAACGACTACGTAACGCGTCTCCTAATAACGCGTACGTGATGGAGTCTTTCGACGTTACCGCACTGTACACCAACGTGCCAAATGACTCCGCTATGCAAGCCATCTTCGAACTTCTTGTTGAACATGAAGGAAGAATAAACATGCATGGCTTGTCCATCCAGCAACTAATGGCTCTCTTAAAGGAATGCCTAAACTGCTCGGTTTTCAGATGGTCTGGGAAATATTTCGCACAAATAAGGGGGTTGGCAATGGGACAGCGATTGGCACCAAGCCTGGCCATTGTGTTTATGTCTAAGATAGAAGCCCCCGTTCTCGATCTCCGGCCACTACTCTACTGCAGATATGTAGATGATTGTTTTGTCGTCTTCTCTACGCAGTAAGAGATTGACAAATGCTTTGAATTATTGAACGAGCAGTCCCAGTACGTAAAGTTCATCCGGGAGAAACCGAGAAAAAACTGGCTTCCGTTTTTGGACGTCCAAATAAACCTATCAAGTAGCGGTTACCTGACAAAGTGGTATCGAAATCCAAGTAACAAGAACATTCTTGTTCATTTCCTTTCTTCCCACCCTTCACACACAAAGAAGGCGATTGTGAGAAACATGTTTCGAATAGCCACCTCTGTGTGCACTACCAGGGAACTAAAGGAAGAGTCGCGCGACTTGGCTCGGCAAATAGCCATCTCCAATGGCTACGAAATAGTAACCCCACGAGATAAGTTTACAAGGAGAACGACGCGCCCACGCGAAACACTTGGCCAAAAGAAAGTCCCGTTCATGTTGCCTTTTATAAGCGATGAAGTAAGCGCAGCTATAAAACGATGCTTAAGAAGGGCAGGTCTAGAGGAATCGGCAGCGATAGTTGAAATACCACCGGCTACTCTACGTCGCCAATTAGTTCGCACCCGCCTGTATGACCGTCTGTGTGAAACAACAAATTGCGTAATTTGCACTTAAGGCAGGGACGGTGAATGCATGAGTTCAGGTACGATATACCTGATCTCTTGTAATAATTGCGGAGATGAATATATTGGCGAAACAGGCAGACCTTTGTGTATCCGTATAAAAGAACACCTAGATGGCAAACGAAAACTAAGACGAAGCATCCCACTAGGCACGCATAGGATACAAAAGCATAACGGAGACAATTTGGAAGTAAATTCAATATCCTTTCACAGGAGATTAAAACACCAGCGCGAAAACTTCTTGAGGTTTTTTGGATAAAACCCTATAATGAATATCAGGGAGGAATGCCCAGAGGTCAAACGCGGCCTGACCCCTCATGTTCGCAAAAATTTTTGATATGCGATGGTGCAGTCATCAACCATATGCGACTATAATCAGCTGTTCTAAGCTTCCTCATTGAAAGTCACGAAAAAGCGGTGGGTTTTCCAAGAAGTTGTTGATTATGTAATTACCGGACAGTTCTTCGTCCTTTTTAAGTGTTATTGAAGCGTTTGGCCTAGTAGATTGTATATCAGTATACCCTTCCAGGCTCTGAAGAAGGCGATTCTGCCGAAAGGTCAGCTAGCGTTGTATTGTATTGTGTTCTTCTATGGAAGTAAATGTATGCTGTTTAAAACCCTCGCGATTGCTGAACAAGAAAACGACACATTCATATTCCAATGCCGAGTTTAATGGAAAGTCGATCCTGGGAACTATTAAAAGATAGTTTTACTACTATATTTCAAAACCGACTTACCTTTGACCTAGGTATGACTAACCAATACGTCTTCTTCCTTTGGTAAGCCTACTCGAGATTGATAAATAATCTTTATTTTCGGATAATGCTTCGATGTCTACGTCTTCATCAGAACCAGTCTTTTCTCTACGACTGTTGACCACGGATTCCGATCATCGGCTCTGATGAAGACAGACGTCAAAACGTCAACCGAAAATAAAGATTATTTAGTTATCAACCCTGTGTAGGCTTATCAAGAGAAGAATATATATTGATCAGTTCTACTACTATTTTTCAATTCTTTTCTAATACATCTGAGATCAACCTCAATTGACGACAGTTCCACCCCTAATCCTCAATTCTTTGAAAGAAAACTCACGCCATAACCCTTACGCTGCTTGGCAACACACCATTCAACATTTTCAAATAAGATAATTCTTCCTTTTCTGGATAATTTTCAATGACAGACTTGTCAGCATCATCATGCCAAAACACAAATTTGCCATTTACATCTGCCGATCTGTAAATTAGCAAAAAAATATGGGCCATCTACAGTTAGTGTCCTCAAAGAAAACTGCAAAGAACTAAAGCCTAAAGAGAAAAAAACAAGTATTATACCTCACCACGAGAGCTGCAACTTGCTTAAAGGCTGATACACCTTTATCAGTCCGTCCACATCGTGAAAAGTCGCAGTTTTTCTCATCAAAAATGAGTTTTGTTTTCAACAAAGCGTCCATCAAGTGCTAGAAATATGATGATAAAGCTCGCAGTAGACTTCAAAGACCTGATGGAACCTGAGATCTAATGGAACCTTGGATCTGATATAACCTTGGTTAAGAATTGGAAACTACTTACCTTTTCTACTGTGTTCTCAGTATTCGCCTGCTGTACCAAACCGTCGAATTCCCAACCATAGTAGAGAAACTGTATGGCGATTTTGCGTCGTGGATGAGCTTCAAAGTCAAAGAAACGCTTACGTTTCACTGCTAAATATTTCCATATTGAAATCTTTGACGCCTTCCGGAAACAAGTCAAGATTCTCACAACTAAGGAAGGGAAAAGAAACTTACCTGGTTGACTAGGGACGTTTTCTTCTGCCGCACTGCACATGTCATACGTTTGCTTACTACTCTCGTGGGATCGTTTATAACTTCCAGGTTTCAAAGGAAATACCATCTCATAAGTGAAATGACCCACTCTCTATAAACCTCGACATAAATATTCGATATATCTACATCTATCTTTTTACGAACTGCCTTTGTTTAGCTGACGCGAAGTTGGTAAAGATGTCTTATTGTTGTTCCTATTGTTGTTGTCGTTGTTGCTGTTGCTGTTGCCGTCGTTGTCCGATGCCTGATGTTTCGACGACTTCGCCTTCCTTAAAGCTGTGCTGTTACGAGTGAAACTCCGTTGATGCTGTTGCTGTTGTTGTTCAGTGGCTGACGTCTTGGCGACTTTGTCTTCTTCAGAGCCGTGCTGCTGAACCACTGTGTTGTTCACGGGAGATGATGAGTCTCATTAGTCTCACAACAACAACAAGAACATCTAGACCAACCTCGGGTCAGCCAAACAAGGGTAGTTCATAAGAACATGTGTACATAAATACATCTCATAACCATATGTGGAAGGTAATAGGTGGCAAAAATATCCGACACAAGATGATGAGAGGAAATGAACAAGAAGGAAAGAAGAGGAAGAAGAATTATACATTCTCAATCGGTTGAAAGTCGTAGATCTACTTCATATGCTACTTTCCACTGCCTATTCCCTCCCTGTAGTACTTTATATAACCCGCTGTATAACCTACTCGTTTTATGACTTGATGGGCATTTCTCCAACATTTCCAGCCGCTAATAACCACACACACCATGTTTATCCTCATATTCTCGAAACATACGATAGAATGAAAGGAATGTTTGAAGAACATAACACGATAGTTCATAGCGTAGATTAGAACCAGTAGTTGCTATGTTCATGCTGGTCACATTGGACGCAAAAGTACGTAGTGCACAACATCGCGATGAAGTTTCACCATGTAACTTTCCCCCTCTTAACGAAGGAAGTGGAAATAGAGAACACAGGGTTACTCTGTGAGAACTCCTAACTCCTAGGTCTAAAAATTTCTGGGCTACCAGTTGAAAATGAACTGCAAGTAGCTGCACGAGCAAAATGTGCACTCGTTAATCTCTGCGCTACTAAGAATGGAATAAAATGCATGGCTTATCTTTTGGAAGCTGGGTCGTTTAATGCACTACCACTTGTTTTGACCTGTCAGTATCGAAGATCTTAACCCAAAAAGCTCAACATCCAAACACTGTGAGTTGGTGTACCATAAAAGTGAAGGATAAAGAATGGTCTACCATGTCCATGTAAAATAGTCACAGTGGTCCATTACTCGTCTCTAAGAGTGTTTACACTTCAAGGGGACAGTTATCTAAGATGGAAATTCGTTGTCTTCGAGAAGCCCAATGCCCAGGAGAAAGTCACATCCAATTCTAGAGATCTGCTTCAACTATCTGTTAGAAAGGCCATCCTGCGAAAGTCGAAGTCAGCTAGCAACTGGAGACTCGTCGCTTGGGAACTCAGCTGTTTGTTAATGTTTTTGACATCGAAGACAAGTAAGCAACTATATAAGCATAAAAAGGATAAGGAATAAAACACTCGACGTTGATCAATCCTGAGGGATGCGCCGTGCATTTGATCACTGTCGGAGGTGCCTTAATGTACATCTAGCGCTTACGACTCTCGGTGACTTACTGAGGTATCGAGCCAATGTCGCCATCCCCAGACAAGTCTGATACCAATTTGCTGAGCACCGAGAGATGGAGGACTTGGTGGGCCTGGGACGCGGGGATCGATTCCACGTGTATTGCAATACGTCTCCGACCACAGCACTACACGCGCCACACATAAGTATATCACCTGAAAGTCACCAATAATATCGATGATGCGTTTTCCTTTTCGGATTGGATATTCGATTTCAGAGAACTGTTCAATTTTAGGGATAAATATCGTTTATTAAAATTCATCCTTGTTTAAGACACATTCAGCTTAGAGCAACGAAATTAACACTTAAATTAAAGGAAAGAAATAAAAAATGGACGGCATCAAAGAAATTTCATGGATGGTACCACTAGTAGAATTCAATAGTTTCCATGTGTTCGCAATTCTTTGGATGTGGAATATCAAAACCGGCTTTGTTTGCTACCAATAGAGCAGCTCCGATAGCACTAGATCCCGTAGGACGATACAAGTGAACCCGTGGTATCCAAGAACCTTGTACTGCGTGAATAAATCCTGTAAAAGAGAAGGGTTAAGGACATTCTGCACTCCGTATCTCTGAAGTGAAAAGGTCAGAGTTAGCCCAAAAGTATGGAAAGTGACAAATTTCACACAGTTAAAAATGTAGATGCCTGACAAGGACCTAAAAATGCTAATTTTGTGGAATACAACCATAATGATGTTGAGATATTTTCAGAACTCCGGACCGCAAGTCCCTCCGATGAGGATCGAATCCGCTACTAACCTTCCCGGCGGCTAACGTGTTCACCACTACACCATCGACAATATCACATCAATGCTGTTGACGGCTGATTGCTGATAGCACCTACAGGTTAAAACACGACTAGCAGAAAGGCGAAACAAAGGACCCGCATGGTGTGGTGTTGGACGCTTCAACCCTCGAAAAGGGTAACAACGAATTCGATCCCCACCGTAGACACCTTCGGTGGGGAATTTTACAAAAATCTCAGCGTCATTACGGCTGTATTTCACATAATACGCTGCCTAGAAAATTGTAGGCAGCAAATAAATAGTTAAGTACTAATTTTATTAGCAGTTTACGAGATTACAGAGATAAGCCATAAGTGTAACCACGTCACGCTTCAGGAAGTAGACCAGCTACTAAGACTTGTAGGACTCATCTATAACAACTTTTCAACAGAACGATTAATGATACCGTTTTTGATCGAGTTCCACGACAGAAATACTGATCCCACCAAGATCAGATTAATCTCAGAACGATATTCCTGAAATAAAAATCGTTCTCCACAAGGAGCTTTATGTGGGATTAAGGAAACCCACACTAGGAAGATGACCGGCAGCCACAACAAAATGCTTCCCTAGGATTACTCCAGCGTCATGAAATAGCAAATTTATTGCTGGATCCGCAGTATCTAAAAGACTAACTCGAACTTTCCAGCTGTGATTCTTCATTATGAATGATGGAAGTAGTCAGTGAGGGGGGTAAACGTCCTCACTTTCGGCTAGTTTCTTTGTGAACGAGGCAATGTGAGACTTCTCAAATTTGTTGTATAGGTGTTCCAGTATATCGACTTTGTCACCAATTTCGAAATGCTGCAATAACAAGATAATCAAAGGTTTAGCAGGGAAAAGAACATAAGAAACGCTGTAAAGATCTACCTGCAGCAGTAGATCTCGAATCCTTTGTGTGGGATGATGCGGTATTTCCATGCCGTCGTCTTCATCGAATACCATTCGTATTGCCCTTCAACATCCACACGCTATTACCGAAAACATAGAAAACAATGGGTCTTCAGTGACTCCAGCTACAACCTCAGTTTAACTGGGTTCAATGCCGATTTGGTTCCCTAGATCAATCCCGTTGACGAGTGATTGCTTATGGCACTGGTAGATAGAAAAGTAACTAATAGAAAGGAAACGATGGACTCGCATAGTGCAGTGGTAAATGCGTTAACCCACGAACAGGGTAATAGCGTTCGTTCTCCACCCTGCGGTCAGGAGTTTTGAAAATATCTCAGTATCACTGCGGTTGTATCTCACATAATACACTGCCGTGAAAAATAGTAGTAGGCAGTAAATAAAGGCTAACAACGGGTTTTGTTGTACGAATTACTTGAACACTTGTACTACAAACAGGACCTGCCTTAATGAATTAGCATGCTGGCTTCAGTACAACTTCTATGTCATTGATACATTACAAGGTGAGTAAGGGTTTTCTCTAGGATCTAAAGAGAGCCGTATAGCACCTTCCACAAGTGGTCATCACATGAGCTTGCTCGTATTTGTGGATCGGACGGAGGTCTACCACATCTCGAGTAATTCTTTCCAAATCGTAAAGGTTCGAGGTTATGATTCATTGTCAGTTGAGTTGAAACGTCGAACTTCCCCTCAACTTTAGCAACCCAACGAGCCGGATTAATAGTGTATAGTACAAATCAACATCGTATTTTGACAAGCACGAATACTCTTCGAGGCGCCGAAAACGCAAAAAATGGTAAGGCTAAGTGTTATAGAAGTCTAGGCTTAAGAAAAGATGCCGTATAGGACGGAATATCATTACAATGTGAAAATCACCTCATTGCAATCCAAAACCCACTGCCGCCATCCCCGATTTGGTGACCCCATCCGCCAACACCGAAAACGTGACCATCGGCAAGTAAGACACGACATGATGAACCTGTTCCCGCTACCAGTATGACTCCACCTGAAGAGAAATGAGCACAATAAACTACAGTGATCACTTACTTTTACACTGAATACTGTTCAGTTTCCCTAAACTAAGATGCCATCGTCTTCATCGAAAGGCGAAGAGCAAATTGATAGGCAGAACACTTGGATAATTGGATGCCTCGCCTTCACTGGTTGTGCAAGCCTCAGCATAATTTCCACTTTTTCGGAGTTTTGCTGGACTAGCTATTGTAATTCCCTGAAGACTCGAGGTCAGCCTGGCCAAAGTCTGCCCCAGGTCGTCACAACCCCAGGAAGTCGCTGCCCTTGGGGATCAGAGGGAGATTTGCCATCATGCGACTAGTTCTGTGCCAAGACGGAGACGGATCCTGATACTAGTTAAGTCTTAGCTGGGTTTCCGATGGATACGCTTGACTCCTTCTCAGCTTGGGAGACCCTACCAAGGGGATGAATCCCCCGCTGTACATCGTAAGCCGATACCCAGGAACATGTCACAGCCACGATGAGGCAGTGTACCGTTGGTAAGATAGGCAAAATAGGAAAGAAATTTAACATCTCACTTTCTACCTCATGCAAAAAATCTACGAACCTGTTGCTGAACTCAATAGGAAATATGGTTATTGCGGCATTAGAAAATAAAACATAAACATATATATATTGTAAAATTCTGCCAATTTAACTACCATCTCACCATGCTCAAACGCTGCAGCGACCGCAGCCACTGTATCCGATGTTACAAAGACGTGCTCAGCCAGATCTCCATGGTTCGCCTCGATGTAGATTACAAAACGTGAATTGTCACGTGCTCCTTCAGCTCCAGAAAGACCAAGTCCCTGTGAAATCCCACTCGATTTTACACAAAATGAGACGTAAGTGGTACGTTCCAGGAATAACAGATATACATGGAATGTGAAAATATTGATCCAAATATAAATGCATGTCGCGAAAGAAAATTCTAATTCTGTCCGGTCTCTTTGGTAGACGTTCGATCAAGAACAGTGCTCAAGTCTTAGAATAAAGGATAAAAGATAAAGCTCTCCACGTTGATCAATCCTTGAGTGGTGCACCACGCATTCGATTTCCTTTATTGTTTGAGGTGATCAAATACCTATCTGGCTTCTGCAATAACTCGCGGTGGCCTACCGATGTATACAGCCAGTGTTTATATCCTCCCAGCAAGTCTGGTAGCAATTTGCCGACTCCGGAAGGAAGGCTTGGTGAGCCTGGTGTGCGGGGATCAACCCCATGTGTATTGAAGGGCGCCTCCAACCACTGCGCTACACGCACCCAAGTCTTCGGATGTATTCAGATAAACTAGAAAAAGCTTACGAGTCCCTTTAGAGGCAACGATATGTTGGCCTCTTTTGCAACGCCTCGTACCCAGGTAGCGATATCGGACGCAGTTTTCTCGATACCATGCAAGTTATAGTTTGTTCCATGAAAATTTGACTCGCATAGAGTTTCACCAGAAGAGCTCACAAACACCAGTTTTGATTCTGACGCACCTCTGAAGAAATTTGGGCTAAACAGTTTTCTACTACCAATTAAACGCAAAGTAGTGGGAGTGAAGCAGAAATACCTCTACCACCCATTCACTCTCGGTTTCACTTAAAGTTCCTACAGATAAACGAAGTACGTTATCACCAGTATTAGCTGCTCACTCGTTGATAATCGAGTGACTCAAACTAGTCCCAGTAAAATCTCCATTTATCCCTATCCTGTGCAAGAGTAGCCCAGTGGGTTCTGCACGTAGATAGGAGTACAGCAGTAGTCAACAGTGCAAAATATTAACCAATGATGCCTCGCAGTGCAACTCCGCCATAAGCTTAGCAAATAAGTTCCCCAAAAGATAGAGGTTAATAGAAAAATGAAAGTAATTTCTCAACTAGTTGCTTTAATACAAGAACTATCTTCTCCTCTAGTTGCTGAAAATGTCGATAAATGCAGCGCATTCGCGATCATGGATCTCCCTAATGTGAGATAACAACGTGAATACAGAGAGCGGCAATAGATGACTTATCGCAACAAAATGTTGTGAATAAAGAGTATTAAGTATGATAGGTGTGATGCCTTCAATGCACGGCATCTCGAGCGTGCCGTCCCCACTGGGCTTATTTAGCGCGGGGTGAATAAGCGAAGATTTCACTGGTATACAGGAGTCTATCTATAAGTAAAAAGGATAAAGGATAAAGCTCTCGGTGTTAATCAATTCCAGAGGAATACAACATGCATTCGGTTTCATTAAGCAACGTCGGAGGTGAATGAATGCATATCTGGCCCTTACAAAGACTCGCGGTAGCCTAACGATATATCGAGCAACTGCTGCTATTCTCTCAGGCAGGTCTGGTACCAATTTGGCATCTCCGGGAGGGAAGAAAGGCTTGGTGAGCCTGACGCGCCATGATCGATCCGTGTATCGCAGGGCGCCTCTGACCACTGCGCTACACGCACCTCTTAAATAGTGGCACATAAGTGATACAGCAAAGTAACCAAAACGTATGACTTATGGAAACGTAAACCCACCCTTCCACACCACAAAACACCGCTTCCGACATCGACTTTCGAAAGAGCAGGCCAATTTGTACTGAACTCCCGTCACAATCCTTCCTCCGAACAAGACGACCTTCGAGATTATAAAGTAATAAGAGGTCTTCGATTGACCAGTTGTCGCTAAAACATAGAACACTTTAGGAAATGATATTAATCAATGAGAACTGAGATAAAGATCGGATCTATAGAGCCTAATCCTAAGACTTTTGCAGCCACCGTAACCCTAACGTGGCTCACTCCATCCCACTCGGTTTTGTGGCTTGAGCTTACTACCGTATCGAAATTGAAATCCTTTCTGCAGTTTTCAAATACACAAGTACCTAGATTCCAAGGTGTGACTAAGGGTTACTAGATAGTACAACATCAAATACTTTGTTACGAACTTTACCACCAATGATCTGTCGCCGAGTCCTACGAGTAGGTATTACCCACAGTCCTGCCTTCAGTATTCAGAAAAGGACCAAAGAGGACATTATGAAGAAAAAATTGCAAGGTACAGAAATATCCATTTCACTTACTTAAAAACAAAGTGACTGCTTCGCGATCTTAGCAACCCTACTATAAGAATTTGGACTTCTCAGAAACAATGACCCCAGTCCTTAGCCATGAAACTAACAAAAACAACAACGAATTTAAAGAACTAAGGCAAAGAATTAAAGAAGAAACCTCCACAGAGTAGTACGTAAGTAAAGTGCGGTAAGTACCGGTAGGTACAGTAAGGTACGACTATTAGTTGAGCTCTTAAGGTATTTTAGCAAAAAGTTTATCTCCAAAGTCAACCAATATTCGTGGGATTCTTTAGAATTGATCGATTAATAGAAGCTCATAGACCGGTTCGTCATTAAAGGATTCACTGATAGGACACAATAACATGTGACTACGTAGTACGACTGTTTTTTTTGCCTTTTACTCATACAAAGTACGTTCTTACTTGGATATTTGGATGGCCCGTCTCCACTGGTTGTGCTAGCCCTTACGTAATCTCCATTTTTTCTGAATTTTGTTGACCTAGCTATTGTGGTTCCCTGGACTCCTGAAGTCAACCTGGTCATAGTCTGCCCCAGTTCGTCACTAGCACGAGCAGTTGGCGCTCTTATAGATCAGAGGGAGATTTACCACTATGCGACTGGTTTGATACCACGACGGTGGTGGATCGTGGTATCGGCTCACTCTTAGCTGGGCTTCATGACTAAAACGCCGAACTCCTTCTTTACTTAGGAGAACCTGCTGTGGAGATGAATTACCGGCAGTACATTGCAACCCGATACACAAGAACACTTCCCAGCCACGATGAGACGGTAAACCGCTGGGAGGTACGTACAAAATACAGTAGCACGTTTTTGTACAGTGGAACTACTTTATACTTGAGAAAAGTCTTCACTATACACGTCAATCAATACATACTCCCGTTCAGCATAACTGAAGTAGAACTGCAGTAATGGAAATCGTTGGAAGAACGTATGCACTGTTGTCATCAGAGGACGAAAAGTGCAGACGTCGTAGAAGACATCAGAAGCGATCAGATAGTCGAGCTCCTTCAACTCGTCCACCACAGTCTTTATGTTATCAGCATCTTGCCAATCCAGACCCTTAAAAAAGCGCATCGTTTGATATTGAGATATTTGCATAATCCCGGACTGTAGGTGTCTCCGGTGGGTATCGAACCCGCTGTCACCATTTCCGGGCACTAACGTGTTTGCCGCCTCCCTATGCGGGTCCTTGGTCTCTCGTTTCCCTCAGGCCGTTTTAAACTATAGGTCCTATATCAATCACCCGTTAACGAGTTTGTCAAACCATATCTATATCTATAAAAAGATGTACAAAGCTCTCAGCGTTGATCAATCCCTGCGGGATGCGTCATGCATTCAACTTCACTAAGCATCGTTTGGAGGTGATTGAATGCAAATCTGGCCTTTACAATGACTCGCGGTGGCTTAACGATGTATCGAGCCAGGGTTGCTATCCTCCCAGATAAGTCCGGCACCAATTTGCCGACTCTGGAGGGATGGAAGGCGTGGTGGGCCATGAGCGCGAGGATCGATTCCACATGTGTTGCAGGGCGCCTCCGACCAATGCGCCACAAGCGCCCTATCTATATCTATATCCACCGGAAACCCAGAAATTACGAATTTTATGTTGAGTCTTGATCGATATGAAGTGATTGCATAGGTTAAGGTAGAAAATTAGCTCAGAGACAGGAGAAACGAAGAACCCGCATAGTATGGTGGCGAACACGTTAGCCCGTGAAAGGGCAATATCGGGTTAGATTCCCACTGCAGACCTCACCGGTCCGGAGTTTTGCAAATATCTGAGCGTCATTGTTGTTATATTTCACATCACACCCATACTGGCCTACTAGTGTGACTCAAATTTTTGTCGCTCAGATGCCAAAACTGCTTAGAACTATGGTGATGAACTCGTGGAAATATATCGTATAATTTTTCATGAGCGTTTTCTAGACGTCTTTAGAGCAGAGTTCGTCAAAATTCACCCACTTTCACCTCACAGATGTTTGATAGACAATTCTTCTCCACATTTTCTTGTAATAAACTCAATATCTGCAATATTTGAATGTAGTTATGTTTCCAGTAAAGAAAAAAGCCGTACTTCACCACTGGGAAAATCTGTGAGGAAGACTTTCTTGGCTCCAAGACGTCCTAGTGATAGCCCAACCACTCCAGTACCAGAACCCAATTCGAGACAGACACTGTTGGCGAAAACGTGGTCATTACAGCATAGAAACTCTGCTGAAACAGGAACCATTAGTTCATTCGTAGAGGACTGACTCTATGAGAGCCACCTAAACATTTTGCTGCCGGCCATAGCCCTTTCCAATGTTTCTGTCTAGCACCTATGCCGTCCATGCTATTCACGGCGCTATAATAAGCGTTTGTAGCGCCACATTCCTGAAGTATGCTAACACCTTGATGTTTCGAATTTCATTCCTAAGCTGATATAAAGGCAATGTGAGGCAAAGGTGGACTTGTAACCAATAAGACTCCTGGACACTTGTAAACTTAAGGAATCATTTTCAAATTATACTTTTATCAAATAATTACAGCAAAGCGACAACATCGTATCCACATATCACAGACATCTCCACACTATACAATTTCAATCTGGCTCTGGCACAACGTAGAAAATGGTTCTAGAAGTCTCCTAGTCAATCTGCCATGAATCACGATCTGCTAAGAACTCTTCATCTGTGAAGAAAGGCTTATCAATTAGCCTAAAAATCATTAGAATCACATCAAAAACAAGAAAAAAAGCAAGTGACTCCAATGAAACCACAGCTATCCTTCCATTAAACTCACTCAATGGCATTGATACCACAAAAGGGACAATCTGATCCAAGTATTTCATTAATTGCACTGCTGACCTTTTCAAAACGAGCTTCTTTTTCTATAATCGGAACCAATAATAAAAACCACTGCAAGGTATTCTGTCGAATAAGCTTTCTAGAACGAAATAAATCACACCTGCATAAAAGTTGTCACTGGCCGGTGAGACGAGATCTGCAGCTTGTAACTGTGAAAGTAACCGTTTCTCCATTGCGACAAGGTCACTCAGACGAGTTTTCAATTCCTATGAAACATCAGTTCCAATCTTCAATAACACAATGAAATTGTCACTTTAACAAGTGCAATGTCTTTTCATGGATAAAAGATGAAGCTCTCGGAGTTGATCAATCCCTGAGGCATGCACCATGCATTCGACTTCATTAACTATCGTTGGAGGCAATTGAATGCATATCTGGCCTTTACAATGACGCGCGTTGGTCAACCGATGTATCGAGCCAGTGCCGCTATCCTACCAGACAAGGCTGAATCCAATTTGCCCACCCCGACGGGATGGAGAGCGTGGTTACCCTTGAGCGCGGGGATCGATCCTATGTGCAAGGCAGGGTGCCTTCGACCACTGCGATACATGCGTCCCATGTCTTTTCAAGCACCTACAACAATTGCTTACTTGTACAGTTTCAAAGAGATTTGTGTATGAATCTTGCTCAATAATTAAATTTAAAATAACCCAGAACTTCATTTAAATATGGCATCATTGCGTTTTCCAAACACTCTCGGTGGAAGAAATGTCGACAAGTGTGGGCATAGAAAGGCCTTCCAACAAGTGACCGGTCACATCGTGCACATAAATCACCTGCTTTGATGACAGTAACTCTGGAAGAATAAAGTAAAACCTATGCCTTCTTATAGCAATATATAAAACCGTACCGATTGCGGAGTCGTTGAGTTTTCTCCCTGATCTCCTTTGCTGTGAGCGTAGCATCATTCATAGCTTGTTGGAGTTCCTAAAACTGCAATCTGCCACGTAAAAACAAGTCGCTGCGATGTAACAGAAACATTTTGCACTTAGAATGAGAAAACGAAAGAGTTAGTCAAGAGAGCAAATGGCACAACCTGAATTTTCACTGAGTGCTCTTTCAGGCACTCACAAAGCGGGTCTTTGAAGTCCTCAATTTTCGTGAATTCAGGGAAAAACGGAAGAATGTCCTAAAAATCAAACTATAAGACAATAAAAAACTAAAAAAAACTGCTGAATAGTTCCGTAAAAGAAGGGAGGAAACAAGGAGCAAAGATGTGTGAACTTCAACAGCACAGAAGTTGGCTCTTAATACAGAAAAGGGTTTACTTTATGATTGATATGCCACAATTTTCATCCCAAGAAGAAAAATTTCCGAGTAGAGAGCCAACCTGGATAGAGATGACGTCTCCTGACTCCTTCAATAAACCAATGCATTCCCCTGCATTCCCGTTTCTCTTTATAACGAAGGCTGCTGAAAGGACAACACCATAGTTGGTGGGAATAATTACGTTTAGAAACGAAAACCACATGTACAGCTAAGGAGATAGGAACGTATAAGTAGGCAATGTATGCAACAACAAAACTTTCAAAGACATAAATAAAAGCCTAATGCTCTCGGCGTCTCCTCACATGAGGGATCTCGAGCCGGTTAGTCGCGAGGCTACGTGGCACGTTAGCTGGCGGATAGGGGGTTAATCGTGGACCAAAAGCGACCTTTGCTTCCCTGAGACGAAGGCGGATCCAGGGGATGGACTCCCTGTTTCTGCTGCGCCGACTTGGCAGATGTTTTCTGTATATGCTAGTACTACTCGGATCTCTTCGATGGCCACGTCCACCCTCCGTTATATGAAATAAAGGAGGACGGATATGTAGTATCACCGGTTCTCCCTTCCGAAATCCGACATGCCTCCTCGTCGGTGAAAAATCGAGCAGCACCAGGTCCGGACAGGACAAGATCAGAACACCTGAAAAACCTTCCGCCAGTCCTCATAACACCTGGCTCGGCTCTTCACACGTTACCTGTTAGTGCAAAGTACAAGGTTCCTACTTAGCGGAAGACCAGCAAGACCGTGTTATTGTTCAAGAAGGATGGCCAACACGATATAGACAACTATCGCCCAATCTGCTTACGTCTGTCATCTACAAACTTTTCACTCGAGTCATCCTAAGCAAGATTGACAGAACACTGGACGAAGGACAGCCACGTGAGCAAGCAGGGTTTCGAAAAGAATTTAGTACGATGGACCACATCCACACGATAACAAAACTCATTAAAGTATCGCGAGAGTACAAAAGACCTCTTTGTCTCACTTTCATCTATTTACAGAAGGTCTTTGATTCAACTGAGATAAAAGCAGTCATGGAAGCCCTTGATAGTCAAGGAGTCCCTATTCAGTTCATAAAGATTCTTCGTGAGCTGGACAAAAATTTCACAAACAGCTACATGCAAGCCCCAACTCATGTTCGAACTTGCAAAACAATGCAGAAAGGGGATAAAAACCTTAAAGAAAAGCAGCAGTTGCGGTTGGAGCTACAGGGGTTGGGAAAAGCCCTTCGAAAGCCCACAGAAGATTTGCCAATTAAAAAAATCATGGTTATTGCACTCCGGTGCCCGGACGAAATAGTTACAGTGCCCAGAAGGGCAATGGAAAAAACTATTTACAATTACTACCCAGATTTCTTCAATGGACACGTCCTCGTGCCATCATATGGAATAAAGGAGAGTGGATATGTCGTATCACCGGTTCTCCCTTCGGAAATCCGACATGCCACTTCATCGGTGAAAATTCGAACTGCACCAGGCCCGGACCAAGACCTGAACGCCTGAAGAACCATCCGCCAGTCCTCATAAACACACTGCCCCGGCTCTTCACATGTTAACTGTTACAATGGATGGTTCGTGTTCGTGGAAGACCGGTAAGACTGTGTTATTCTTCAGTAACGGTGAGCACCACGGTATCGCTAATGGTCGTCCAATCTGGCNGGTTGGGAAAAGCCCTTCGAAAGCCCACAGAAGATTTGCCAATTAAAAAAATCATGGTTATTGCACTCCGATGTCCGGACGAAATAGTTACAGTGCCCAGAAGGGCAATGGAAAAAACTAATTACAACTACTACCCAGATTTCTTCAATGGACACGTCCTCGTGCCATCATATGGAATAAAGGAGAGTGGATATGTCGTATCACCGGTTCTCCCTTCGGAAATCCGACATGCCACTTCATCGGTGAAAATTCGAACTGCACCAGGTCCGGAGCAAGACCTGAACGCCTGAAGAACCATCCGCCAGTCCTCATAAACACACTGCCCCGGCTCTTCACATGTTAACTGTTACAATGCATGGTTCGTGTTCGTGAAAGACCGGTAAGACCGTGTTATTCTTCAGTAACGGTGAGCACCACGGTATCGCTAATGGTCGTCCAATCTGGCTGCTATTTGTCGTTTATAAAGTTTTCACTGGAATCATCCTAAACAAGATAAACAGGACACTGGAGGATTTAGTACGGTGGACCACATCCACATGATGGCAATGATCACTGAAGTATCTCGAGAGTGCGAAAGACCGCTCTGTCTCACTTTCACCCGATTTACAGAAGGCTTTTGATTCAGCTGAGATAGAAGCAGTCTTCGAAGTCCTTGACAGTCAAAGAGTGCCTACTCAGTACATAAAGATTCTTCGTGAGGTGTACAAAAATTTTACAACCAAGGTATTACCATTTTACAACGATATTAACATTGACGTTAAAACAGGAGTTCAGTAAGGCGATGCCATCTCGCCAAAATTATTTACCGCCAACTTCGCGAATGTCGTGCGAAAAAGAATGATAGTCGAAGGAAGTCGAAATGGATGGTCGGCAATTACACCATATTCGCTTTGCTAATTGCATCGTCCTTATAAAACCAAACATTAGCTAAGCGGAACGTATGGCTATCGATTTTGATAAAGCCTGTGGAAAGATTGGTCTTCGACGAAATCTCACAAAAACGATGTTCGTTAGGAGCGGATTGGTTTCGCATGCCCCATTCACGCTCAACGAAACGAATATCTCCGAATGCTCTAGTTATGTCTATCTAGGTCGGGAAATCAACATGTTGAACAACTTAGCTCCAGAGTTCAACAAAAGGTAACGAGCGGCTTGAGGAGCCTTCAAGAGCATCGAGGATGTAGTGACGAGGACAAAGAACACCCGACTTCGTGCCCACCTTTTCGACTCAACAGTACTTTCTGCCCTCGAACGCGCAGTCGAAAGGACGATGCTAGGAGTGTCAACGATCAAAAATCAAAGATGCCATTCTGTATGCCAAACAGTAGAAGATAGGGCGAGCTGGACACATAATGTGTATGTGTGTCAACCGATGGAGAGGAGCCGTTAGTGGCTGGATACCACGAGATGTCAAACGTACTGCAGGAAGATCACCGACACGATGGTTCGAGTTCCTCACGAAGAGCCTAGAAGAAAGATATGATGTTCGACGAGTCTTTAGAGCGAGCATAACCCACTGGGCTACTCTGACAAGCGACAAGGAAAAATGGAAGTTTTATTGGCGACCGCTCGAGTCACTCGACGATCAACGAGACTACAGGTGATACAGATGACACAGGTGCTCTTGGCGTTGCGTTGAACAATCCCAGAAATCAAGGGGTGTGCCATGCATTCGGTCTTATTAAGCATCGTCGGAAGTGAATGAATGCATATCTGGCCCTTACAAAGACTCGCCTTGACCTACGGAACCAGTGCTGTTCTTCTCCCAGAAAGGACTGGTACCAAATTGCGGACTCCGGAGAGAAGGAGGGCTTGGTGAGCCTGGGACGCGGACATCGACGCCATGAGTATTACAGAGCGCCTTTGACCACTGCGCTTCACGCGCCCCAACAAAGATATATGGGTTAAAAATTTCGTTAAGATACATATAAGGTTGCCTTTAAAGAACCAGAATCACCCTCATCTGTACGTTGAAACTGAGGAACGAACCTATCTTAAGCCATATTCTCCTTCTCTGCTCAACAGAGTACATCGGCTCAAGTCCCATTATAGAATCATCCTCGTCTGGATCCATCATATGTGCGCATTCTTTAGCCAAATCAATGCCATCTTCATCAAATCTCTACTACAGATCTTTTTAAGTAGAAAAAGGATACTCAGTGACACCATGCCATCAATCAGACAGCAAAAGCCCAAACTGCGAAAATTTTAACTCACCTTCAGAGCTAGCTCCACGGCTTCACTAAACAACTCCGATACACAGAACAGATGCACAGTTGACTTATCCAATTCTGAAATTCATTAGATAAACTCTCAACGACAGATAGATAAACTCAATAACTTCGGAAAACGTCTACTATATTGTTCAGAAGTCCTCGTAGCGAAGTCCAAGTCATAAGGAATAGCTGTTTTGTCCACTCCACATTTCACAAGGTATTCATGTAATTTCATTGGACGAAACTGAGCATAAAGAAGAATCAGCAAATTGTGAAGTTCGACGTCGTCAGAGTTTCGTTGTTCGCTTACAGCCCATTCAAGGTACTTCAGGGCACTTGCTGCCTATTAAGGACACGTTTAAGCGAATCGATATTGATAAGCTCACAACTAAGTCATTTGATCACTAAAAAACACGTAGTAATAAAATATTCTTAGTAAAAATAGGATTGAAACAAAGACAAAAAAGCGCTTTGTGCAAAAAGTATCAAGGATAAATGTCTCTGTGTTGACCAATCGCTGAGGGCCGCGCCATGCATTCGACTTCATCAAGCATCGTTGGAGATGATTGAATGTAGATTTGGCCCTTACGGTGGTGGCCAATCGATGTATCGAGCCAGTTCAGTTATACTCCGAGACAAAATCCGGTACCCATTTCCCGACTCCAGAGAGATGGAAGACATGCTGAGCCTGGGCGCGGGATTGATCTCATGTCTATTGCAGGGTGCCCTTGATCACTGTGCTACACGCAAATAGCGGTGGAAATTGGTAAAAAAGAAGACGTTAGAAAATACATAAAACCCTAGAATAAAGAGAAGAAAACATTAAGTTCACCATAGCAGGGGTTTCTTGACAGAGACATAGCGTAGGAACCATGAGCGCTGGCCGTACACGTTTATTACCGATGAGACATCCAAAGAGTTCCGTTGATATGTGTCTTACCAGTTTTGGAGAATACTTGTAATATAGCGCCGGGTTATCCTAAATTGACAAATTCGACTTCATGGGCCGGGTTTCTACGAAAATTCCTTTAAAAAAAATCCCAGTTGACATAAAGCAATGAGAGGAAGTGGATGATCCACCTGATTCTTCAAAGTTTCTAAGGCTTCCATGTAATGCTCCCTCATCAGATGAATATCAATAATTTTTTCGCAATCTAAAAGACGAAATTTTATAAGCTACAATGTTAACCTTTTATTTGCTACTACAATTTTCTATGTGATTTCGACTGTAACCTCAGCTTAACTGGGTCAATACCGACTTGTGCACCTGTGCATGTGCATTAATAAACGTTCATTCCCCACTACAGATACCTGCGCTCTGGAGTTTTGCAAATACCTCAGCACCATTGTGGATGTATTTTACAAAATCTTCCATGAGCCATTACATATGCCTATTTCGATACTGCTCAAGTTTCCAGTTATGAAATCTACACAAAATATCATCTGTCGAAAACAAAAAGTATAAAAGAAAAATGATCACCTTTCACTGAATAAAGCTGAGGTAGAAAAATTTAACGTCAGAAATAAAACCAAAGCAAAACGAATAGTGAACGAGAACACAAATAGACTATCGGTACCTCCAATTTGCTTCGCAATGAATAGCTGTGAATCGATGTCGGCATGAGAGGCCATGAGATTGTAAACAGCATCCTTGTTGACTACCACTGTGTCCTCAAAAAAGTAACTTTCAGAGATGAAACGACCCACTTTCTGTTAACCTCGGCATTGATTCAGTAATTCTTTATAGTCCTGCTGATCAAACAAATATGATCTCTCTGTGGTTGGTCTCCACGCGACATACTCAGTGGAAGACGCATAGGAAGCGGTGAGTGTGCAAAGAAGCTATTCTGTGTTTACTGTGATTGAAATCTTGGTTTAGCACTTTCTCTGCTTGGTTATGGAGGTGTTTGGATGGGTAGATTGAGGTCAATTTTACCTTTCCAGGCTCTGAGGACGACGAAATTCGCTGAAACGAGCACTGCTGTCAATAAAGAATAAAGTAACACCGCGTGTTTGCTCGACAAGGATATAAAGAATTTTCGAAGGCGATTTCAAAGCATAATACAAATACTTCATAATATTTACATGGACATTCTTTCTCATCAGAAAACGTTGTAGATGAACGGCGAGTTCGTTACTCTCTTGTTCACGTCCATCACGACGTGCCTCTGCAAGCTCAGCCAACTGAACCTCAAGCAGCCATATGATGAGAACATCGCGTCGAATTCTGTCCTTAAATAATACCAACCAAGAATTAGTAATAAATACCATAAACCTCGTATGTTACCATGACCAATGACAATCAGTAAATAATTAGAGTGTGTGGAAATATGATTGCAAGGAGACCACATAAATGAAATTGCAACCTCTGGTCGAGTCATCGAATCAAGTTTCTTCTCTAATAATGTCTTCAAGCCAAGGCGATGAGCCTCATCTGTTGACATAAACTTCAAGACGACCGCCTCGAAGGATTCAGTAGACTGAGCAAGAATTTCTGCCGCAGCAGTGAAACTGTAACAGTTCGAATTTCTGAAATGGTATGAAACAACAAACAATGAATCCATCTTCGATTTGGTACTGGATATGTCTCACTAAAAAACAAAGTTCAAAAGTAACTGTGAAACCGAGCCTTCTATGAAGGGGGCCATCGTACGTACTGAGCAGTGGAACATAGCAAGAGAACGTTGCAGGAATATCTTGGTCTCATACACTACGAACAATTCTTCTGATGCTTTTCACGGCAACAACAGATGGACGAAAAAACTGTAGAGTGGACTCCACGAAAATCCCAAAATCCGCGCTCATCTTTTCGACTCAACGGTCTACCCAGCGCTCTGTTGTGGTGCAGAAACACTGATACTACAACCACGTCAAGAATGCTCCGCGGTACTCACAAAGCGCCTGAACGATGGGTTCTGAAATATAACCTGCACATTCAATTTCTATCCGGAATACGAAGCTCTGATCCTTAAAATCTACCACATCTTCGGGATCCAAGAGAATATACATCGAAAGTGAAACACGTGCCCGATAATAAGAACGGATGATATATAGACGAGAACTGTAGAGTGGACTCCACGAGAATGCAAACCTCTCCTAGGACACATTGGGCGGATGTGTTCGTAAACAAAATTAGTCGGCTGTACACGCAGCTGCAGTTTTTTTTATAGATCACTGTATGAGACTCGTACGAGCCACCATACTCAAATAAAACCACCACCGCGGACAACAACTGCAAGGGAAAAACACGAATGGCGAACATGCTCGGGTCCGTGCAACTCGTGAAAACGTACGTCCAAGCGTCCAAATAAGTAAGATTTTCATGGCAAACGGACGACATTGATAGTGTCTGATATAGAACTTGCTAAACCTCCAGGATATAAATGTCATTTTCAAAATCGATTTACCCTGCTTTTCAAAAAATTTGAAGCTGTTTTCAATGGTACCTACTTTTTCTCAGCTATATACTTGTCAGCTTGACGCTTTAGAACCAATTCATGTGCTTCAGGGTCGATATGTAACCTGCTCTTGGCAATCGTAAGGGCTTTGGCGTAATCACCACGTTCAAGAAACACTCGCCAGACGTACCTTCAACAGTTAAGATTAAACAAAGGAAAATAAACGAATAATGTAGTCACTTTTCATTTGCAGCCTATTCTTTTTCATGGCATGGTATGCCGTGGAATACAACTACAATGATATTAAGATATTTGCAAAACTCCGGACAGCAGGTGTCTACGTTAGAGAACGAACGCGCTATTATCCTTTCCGGGGGCTAACGCGTTCACTACAACACCATGCGAGACCTTCGTTTTGCTGTTTTATAGGCGCTGTCAGCAATCAGCCGTCAATGGGATTGATCTGCGAAGCACCAAGCGGCATTGAACCCAGTTAAGCTGAAGCTGTAATTCAACCGAATAATCAACAAAAGAAACTCAACAACCGAAACCAAGCCTTTCACAATAGTATTCTTAAAGAGACAAGGAAGAACACTCAATCAGCTAACCTATTTTCATCCACCGGTTTATATTTCATTGTAATGTGACTTGTGTAAAGCCAATGAAACTCAGATGTTGGATCGCTTACAAGACCAACGGCGTTGCCCATGTCCTGTAAAGATCTTCCCAGTAAAACATTCCTGTCTCTACACTTTTCTCAGGTACTTCAAACCACACCTCTCCCCAAACGTCTTCGTAAACGACGGTTTTGGTATAAACCGACAAAGCGTTTAGTCGACTTGGATAAGCTAGTAATATGTGATATTCACTTAATGACGCACCAATGGGAAAATCAAGACGACCTTCCATACGTCGATGACTGCAAAGAATAGTTTTATCCCGCTAATAATAGTTTACAAATGACAAAAGAAGATTAGAGCTCTCGGTGTTGATCAATCCCTAAGGAATGCGCCATACATTCGACTTCTTTAAGCATCGTTAGAGGCGATTGAATGCATACCTGTCCCTTACAATGGTGGTCTACCGATGTATCGAGCCAGTGCTGCTACCCTCCTAGACAAGTCTGGTACCAATTTGCCGAACTCAGAGAGATGGAAAGCTTGATGAACCTTGGACGCTGGGATCGATCTAATGCTTATTGCAGGGCACTTCTTTCTACTGTGCTACACACGCCTCTTTAAAAATAATCTGTGCAGTAATCATTACGAAGTTGCACCTAGAGAATAGACCATACGTACAGCCACAATTCCTATTTGCGTGCATTTCTTTGATAGCAACTCCACATCATTTACAAAGCACATCTAATTCATGGGAAGCGTGTGGCGCAGTAGTCGGAGGCAGCTTGTAATACATATGAGATCGATCCCATGCCCCAAGCTCACCAAGCCTTCCATTCCGTCGGGGTCGTCAAATTGGTGCCAAACTTGTTTGAGAGGACAGCAGCACTGGCTCGATACATAGGTAGGCCACAGTGAGTGATTGTAGAAACCAGATATGCATTCAGTCACCTCCAAATGATTCTTAATGAAGTCAAGTGCGTGGGACATCCTTCAGAAACTGATCAACGCAGAGAACTTTATCCTTTTATCTAATCAATGTGTGCTACAATTTGGCAAAACGTCATATTGACGAAGGTTGTTATGCTTTTAAACTCTTGGGAAATGAACTCACTCCATGTGGTCGTCTTCCTCAATGATATCTCTAGGTTTGTCAGCAAACAGATTAACCTTTCCAGTTGTGATTCCACTAGGTCCAACCCATAAGAATCGATTCGGCTCACCATGAGGAGGATAAAGTAGCAATGCACTTACTACTGATGTTTGTTGTAAACTGCTAGTACTCTGCATTGACAAACACGTCTGCTGAGAATCTTAATGAACAAGCCATTAGTCATCCGTCTAAGCACACTCAAAAAACCCCCTACCTTTAGTTGAAAAAAATGGATGAAATATGTGTGGTGGTATCTCTGGGATCGTTATCCATCCAGTTTGTAGGTTTGCTGCGCTCATATAACTACTTTTCGAGGGTGGAGTCATGTCAATAGAAGCACAAACTGAATATAAACGCCCAGGTTGGCAAACAAGCATTAACCACCTGAAATATGCTACTTTATTGAAAGGCAGTTCTCAAGAAAAGAAAAGCGACAACAATCGATCGCTGTAACCGAACTAACTTCGCTGCTTTTGTATTGTCATCGTTTATAAGGTAAAGATACAGAGAAGAAATTCCGAGATTCTTCTCACCACCAAAACTAGCCGTATGTTCTTTAACAAAAGCCGTTGCACCATTTGAGTTAATCACGGTTTCTATTATGGCGCCTGTAAGTAAGACAACAGCCATTACTGTAGCACGGATACTATACTGATCTTTAGTGGCCAAATGACCACTAATTTTAATAAAACACTCATCTTGCCATAATTTTACTTTATTATGTCACGAAAAATCCTTGCCAAGTTAATACTTAGATACTTGGATGCCCCATCTTCACTCGTTGTGCGAGTACCAGCATAAAAAACTTCCGGAGCTTTGCTGGTTTGGCTGGTGTGGTTCCCAGGAGTCCCGAAGTCAGCCTAGCAAAACTGCCCCAGGTCGTCAGCACCCTAAGCAGTCGCTGCCCTTGAGGAACAGAAGGAGATTTGCCACCATGCGACTAATTTGATACTAGGACGGTGGTGGATCCTAGTGTTGGTTTACTCTTAGCTGGGCTTCCTGATGGAAATGCCGGAATCCTTCTCAGCTTGTGAGACCCTGCTGAGGGAATTCCTCCGTTGTACATCGCAGCCCGACACCCAGGAACACCACCAAATGATGGCGAGCGGTAAACCGTCGGGAGGCAAGTTAATTCTATCAGATCTAAACAGAAATCCATCTACTCGATAGAAAACTTTCGAAAAGCATTCCTGGCCTTGTGATGTTCCTAGTAAGATGCTCCCAGTTTCACCGTCTTTGATACATTCGGGATTCCACGCTACACAGGTTATCAAACCCTGAAAGATATACCTTACTCGTTTCTTTTTCTTTTTTTTTAATAAAAGAAAAGACGTAGTACGCAATTCGAAAGAAGACAAATGAAGTAAATAATAACAAGCTTAAAAAAACTCAACCTTGATTTTCTTCAGTGGCTGAGGAGTCTTTGTTTTCAAATGGATATAATAGTTTTCACCACACTTAGTTGTCGCTATGCAATGCTGTGCAAATGGTGACAAGAAAATATTGACCAGTGCGTCGGACGATCCAACTGGCACTTTAATCTCTGTAAGTAAAACCAATTATATTGTATAACACATGAAATGGGACACTTTATATCTTAAAATTACAAACCACTAAAGTAAGTCTGACGAACGAAACTACGTCACTGGCAGACAAAATGAAGCATAACAATTTCCTATTAATGAAAAGTTCAAGCACATCGTCGGAACAAGAAACTGGTCCACCGACCTCCATTCATTTTATCTCCCAGCGGTTTACCGCCTCATTGTGGCTTAGGAGGTGTTTCTGGGCGTCGGGTTGCAATGTACAATGGGACCCGCTAAGTTGATAAGGAGTCTGGCGTTTTCATTAGGAAGCCCAACTAAGAGTTAACCAATATCAGGATCCACCACCGTCCTGGTGTCAAACTAGTCGCACGGTGACAAATCTCCGTCTCATCCGTAACGGCAGCGACTGCCTGTGGTGGTGACGACATGGAGCAGACTTTGGCTAGGTTGACCGCGAAACTCCAGGGAACCACAATGGCTAAACCTACACAACTCCTTAAAAACCAAACTTTGATGTTTATCAGAACTATGACATTGTTTAGACTAATTTAACCCACTACTAACACTGGTTTTTCTACGAATAACGATAATTTCTCAATGTGTAGAAAGAAGAGCTGAAAACTTCAGGGGAGAAAACGCTGTAACTCTCAGGCTCATAAAAATTAAAATAAATTAAAAATAAATAAAATAAGATCTAAATCTTCGAAATTCCCAAAGTATTTGCAGAAACCCCAAAAACAAACTCCATCGCATACTGCTGGACGAAATTCAGCTTGTTCGATATAGCTTCGGCAGGAGAGAAGAGATATCTATTGGGCCACAGAAAATCAGGCTCTAACCTTGACAGGAATGTGTCTAGCTGGTGAAGATTCAAAGCGTTTCTATTTCACTTAGGATTCTGCATTACGGGTTCAAATAAGCCGGTTTAAATTTCACACTGGCCCATACTTTCACATCATATGCAATAGCTTCAATATGTCAGCCGTCATGCGTTCACACCTTTTGTTCATTTATCAGGTTTCACGGCCTTCGCTTCTAGCGGTGACCAAACAAGTTTCCAACACTTGCACTTTGAGTGACATCATCTGGAATAAATTGTTTAGATTGTTCGGCTTACATGAGCTTGTTATAAGGTTTTATTCTGCTAACGTTTCAACGTGTTCGTCTTCCTCAGCTCTGACGACCCGAGTCGATGGTCCACAGTCGTTCATTTTCTCGATATAAAGACCAAAGCGAAGCATCGCTCGAATGAGGCAACCTCACCTGGCGACACTCTTTTATACATGGCGGTTGTTGACTGATGATGACTTCTTTTCATATCGACGATTCATTCTGTAGCATTATTATTCTCATTATTTTTATTTCGCTATACGCTAGATACTCTAATATTGACTGCTACAGGATGAATTGCCTACATGGAAAAAACATGACCAGTCGACAATCAGTCAACAACCGTCCTATATAAAACATCACCGCCAGGTGGGGTTGCACCATTTGGTTGCATACGGCGTTTCCATCAGGAAATCTAGCTGAGAGTAAACCAATAACAGGATCCACCACCGAACTGGTATCAAACTAGTCGAACGGTGGCTAATCCCTCTTTGATCCGTAAGGGCAACGACTGCCTGTGGTGGTGAGCATAAGGGGCAGGCTTTGGCTAGCCTGACTTCGAGACTCCAGGGAACTACAATGGCTAAACTAACAAAACTCGAAGAAGTGGGAATTCAACTGGGGCCTGCACAACCAGTGAAGATGGGCCATCCAATTATTCAAGTGATCTATGCGTAAGGATTAACATGCACGATGTGATATGCGTCACGATTGACTCATGTTTGCCCGAAAACAACTGTGTCTTTCAGCTTTAAGCAAATATAACAACTTGAAACCAACTTTTTCAGTTGAAATAGAAGCGATTAGAACTACAGATAGTTGCCAACAACACAGAAGTTTCTATTCTATTTTGTTGAAATAACAGTTTCTGTACCAGACAAAACGGTTTGCTTTGTCAAAGCATGTATATCGAACAAAGTATACAAGAGCGCTTCATCCAGCAGTACAGGTTCATGTTCCCATACACATCACTCTCGCTCCAGACTACCATATTCGGGGTGAGAATTTTTAAAATCTCAATCCGCTTTGGAACCTCGAAGAACTGAATACTAAACACATAAAACAACGAACCACTATGCTTGTTATTGGTTGCGACGGTCTGAAATAGAACTGTGCGCTCATCGATTACAGCCAACATATGTCCATTGGATACTCGAAGAGCAGAAATTAACACATGTCCTTGTAATCTGAAAAACAAAACTATGAATTTTATCGTATTCGGTGCGCGTATAGCGCAAAGGTCGGAGGCGCTCTGCAATACACATGGGATCGATTCCCGCGCCCCAGGCTCACCAAGCTCTCCATCACTCCGAGGTCGCCAAATAGGTACTAGACCTGTCTAGAAGGATAGGAGTACCGACTCATAGGCCAGATATGCATTCAATCACCTCTAACGCTGGAGAAAGTCGAATGTATGGCGCATCTCTCAAAGATTGATCAACGCCGAGTGTTTTATTCATTATTTATGGCTTTTATAAACCAAACAAATAGAATACGTAATAAGCTAACCTAAGGTCACGTTTGACGTCCTGCTGACTTCTAACGAAAATTCCCAGCTGCTGCGTTGCCATTCCTCCACATCCAATTTCTGAAAGACAACAGTGAGTGAAAAAACGGAAAAACCACCTTCAACAGTGAAGCTGGGAATTGAGTTCATCACTGAAACGACAACATACGAAACTTGCAGAAAAATAACGTAAGTTGACCCAATAAAGAACCTTACCTACACGTGGATACTATTAAGGTCTATTAAGGCAAGTGGATTTAAGGTAAGGTTTAGCTCATATGCGTAAAACGACCGATTTACGTACAATATACGTCTACTTAAGGAGCGCCCTGAAATACACATAGAATCGACCCTGTGCCCCAGGCTCACCTAGCGTTCCATCCCGCCGGGGTTGACGAATTGGTACACCCATCTGGCTGACTAGCAGTACCGACCAGGAGGATTGCTCCCTCATGGATTTCCTTAATAACCATTACGATTGTCATTGGGTGGTGGTTGCTTAGATTAATACTGGAATCCCGAAATAGTTATGCTAGAAAAACTACAATTCCTCATCATTGTTGCAGTCCCAGGGCTTTGCGAATCGACGGAAGCACTTCTCAGACAAGTGTGTCACCAATTTCGCAGTCTTGGAGGAATGCGAGGCTTGGTTGCTCAAAACAGAGTCGAAGCAGCAACCATGAGTTCATTGCTCGGCATTTTTAAACACTTCCTGTGCTCCACGGCAATCTTGGAGATAGCCAGGCTAGAGTGTTCCCAGGTAGGTTAGAGGAGAGCGTTGTGCTGGCGGTCGAACTTCAGCCTTTGCTTCCTGATCTACGGCATCGCTAACCGCCGCTCTGTCACGGCACCCACATATGTATATATATGTATACATATATAATATATGTATGAAAGCATGGAGTTAAATAGAAAAAGTCCGCTATTCAGCTTTCCTAGATTCGAGTACGTTTCCCGTCCAAGAACTTGATGTATGCACTTAAAGATCTCATGAATACGTTGACCGAAGTACGTCACGAGGGAACGTGAATAAAGGCAATAGGTGCCGAGGAATAATTTTAATTAAAAATGTTTACAGAATGCATACATATGTATATATGCAAAGAAGAGGTGAAAAATATCAGGACAAGCTGAATAGGCTCTGCTATGCAACCACCTTTCACAATCACCTTAAGGGAAAACAACGACGTCCTTGGATATTTGGACGGCCCGTCTTCACTTGCTGTGTGGGCCCCAGCACAATTTCCACTTCCTCGGAGATTTGCTGGTTTAGCCATTGTGTTTCCCTGGATTCCTCAGCTCAGCCTGGCAAAAGTTTGCCCCAGGTCGTCACCAGCACAGGCAGCCGCTGCCCCTTGGGGATCAGCGGGAGATTTGTCACCATGCAACTAGTTTAATACCACGACGGTGATGGATCCTGGTATTGGTTTACTCCTAGCTGGGCTTCCTGACAGAAACGCCAGACTCCTTCTCAGCTTGGGGACCCTGCCGGGGGATGAACCTTCCGCTGTACTTCACAGCCCAACACCCAGGAACACTTCCCAGCCACGATGGAGCGGTAAACCACTGGGAGGAATGCCTTTAAATCTGAGAACAAAAAGCAAATAATGGTCCCTTGGCCTTCTTTATCGTTGAAGATGGACCACTTTAACATCTCTTTGCTGGGATGGAATGGTACAGAAATAGATGCCCATGTCTTTGCTCGAGATATGCAGTAATTCTATTATAAGGAAGAAATGAGGAAGTTCTAGAAAAATCTAAAACTTATGGAAGGAACAATTAACATACTACGCCTAGAGCTACGGATACTGATTATTATAAGAATGTATAGGTGTAAAGTAAAAAATGTAGACACGTAGAAAAATCAGTAAAGTAATTCGAAAAATACGTAGAAAATATCGAACCAGAATAGAAAAGGAGCAGATTACTTCACTATACCGCTCTACGTGTAGGCAGTTGATGCTCCTCCACTATAATGGCTTATCACCTAAGGTTAATTAGTAAGAGCTTAAGAGTTTTATAATCTAAGAGCTGCTTGTGGAAATCCTGAAGGTCTAGGCTAGGTCCGATTGAATGAAGTATCTTAGATACAAGTTGCAGTAAGGGAAAAATGAGTTTCCCCGTTAGGGAATTCCCCTTCCTTCCTCTGACCCATAAGGGTGATGAAAACCTTGGAACAAGCTAGCATGACTACATCCTGATTCCAGAGAGAGTCATGCCTAACTGGTAACTCTGCAAAATCACTGAAATAAAAGGCGCGTAGGTCGTCAAAACCAATTTATCTGCATATGAACTCAGGCATTACCTCATCATAGTAAACTAATGAAAGAAGTGCTGGAGATACAATATTCTGTGAAGAAAAGGGAAGCAATTCCCTTCACAGTGCGTTCTTACTAATATGAGACACATGCGACTCGCACGCCGTAAAGATTTGACGCCGTTTTGCGTACCGGGAATTATGGATCATGAATGCACACAGTTGGGCGATATACATTTTTGATCGACACCTTATCTGAGAAAATCTGTCATCGTAGGGAGTAGGAATCCTTCCATTTACTTCACAATTTGTCCTTACAAGTAAACAATCCGTATAGTTGCAAGTTCTTTTTCGTTTATTCAAACCACATGAGGTCTCGTACTTCTCCGAACATGTAGTCGTCGGATTTTTTCAAACTTGGCTTGAACAACTACTGGTGGAGCATGATCGAACACCTGGTGGGATTTGGGCCAAGATGTATATGTGTTTATATATATATATATATATTTACACATAATGTATGCACGTGTACACACACGTGTATTCAATCGATATCTTTTTGTGGCTTTTCTCATTTCTCCACAACCGTCTACCTGAGTTTTCCTGGGCTGTGGCTAGTTCATCTACGCATTAATCATCCTTTGAGACTCTCTAACACAATCTAAATAGTAACCTTTCCCCTTTCCTCCATCCTGTTATTCATCTGCGCCAGAGTAGTTGCTTTATTCGTCTTTGCTACTTTTATTATTTATTCGAATCATTTTTATTTATCACACTCTGTTGTTTCTTCTTTATCACTCGTTTTTAGTTTCATTGACTCTTTCATTTCACTGATCATTGATCGATTGATCGATTGATTGATTATATATATAGACAGATACTTGAAGTGTTACTGGTTCACAATCTGTACTTCGAATCGAAAGGCACAGTTAAGAATATAATAAATCGACATTCCTTAACCCTCGGTATTAATGATCAGTGTACCTCGCTTCATTGATAAGTAACACGAGGTTGTTACTAACTTGTATTCGGCTGTTTCGCGTCTTTATCTTCGTCAGGGCCGATGATCCGAGTCGATGTCCACAGTCATTCGTACTCTCGATGTGGGGTCTTCGTCTTCATGTCGAATCAGATATTTCCTAGTGGAGCATCTCTCGAACGTGGCGTACTCACCCGGTGACGCGAGAGAAATGACGGATAACGAACCACCGTGGACCGTCGACACGTATCATCGGTTCTCAGGAAGGCGAAGACGTCGAAACGTTAGCCAAATAAATTTGTGGTAATAACTTCGTGTTAGCTTGTCGATGAATCAAGGTACACTAAGTTAAGAATGTTTAGCTCTATCATAGCGTAGAAATTAACACGTGCATTTATTTTCCTGAGAAATGGTAGTCATGTTCATCGTTTATGCTTGTGCCATTCTCTTCAGTTCACTTTATTGACATCGTTTTCAGCCTTACAGAGAAAGAGGAGACGTACTGCTTAGAAAATGACTCGCAAGTTTTTCGTCGGAGGTAACTGGAAAATGAACGGTGACAAGAAGTCGATTGATGGAATCTGTGCGTTCCTGAATCAGAGTGGAGGTTCGAATCCTTTGTTAACGCCAATGACAGACTTTGTATTGCGAATTTTCATGGCCGATGATCCTCAGCTTCACCCGTAAGTTCGTTATGATGCCAGTTTTTCATGAAAGAAATTGAAGACGTAACGGATGTTGATGTCATCGTGGCTCCACCAGCTCTCTACATCACTTATGTCAAGGACCAGCTCAAAAACTCTATCAAAATCTCAGCTCAGAACTGCTACAAGGTTTGTTGTTTAGTTCGTTTACGTACTTCAGTATTCAGATATATATTGAGTGGTTTTTTCTCCCGGGCAAGTCTGGTATCAAATTCCCGACCTTGAAAGGGAGAGAAGCTTGGTGAGCCCGGAAAAAGACCGATTCAGCACTGCTCGTGATGATCGGCATCACAATTTATACATACATGGGCGTAAAAGGAACATTTGGCACTTCTGACTTAGAACATCGATTGAAGACTAAGACATTTGCTTTAGTCCGTACTAAATTTATCGTTATACTATGATTTTCATGTGAATTTTCATTTTCTTCTAGGTCGCAAAGGGTGCGTTCACTGGTGAAATTTCTCCAGCTATGCTTCAAGACTTAGGTATTGAGTGGGTGATTCTAGGACATTCGGAGAGACGTCATATATTTGGCGAATCGGATCAGGTTTATAACCCTATTGGCCTTTAAACCCTTTCTTTCTAATGCCCATATGGTGGTTCATTGAGATTAGTTAGCTCATTTTTAGCTCATTGCCGAGAAGACTGTCCATTCACTTGAAAGTAAAATCAATGTAATCTTTTGTATCGGAGAAAAGTTAGAGGAGAGAGAGGCAGGAAAGACGAAAGAGGTTGGTTCTTCTAGGTCTTCAAGGTGTCTTGCCAGTCATTTGAATACATAACTTAACAAGTTTCAGGTAAACTTTCGTCAAATGCAAGCCCTAGTAGACAAAAAGGTCGACTGGACAAACATTGTAATCGCCTACGAACCGGTATGGGCCATTGGGACTGGAAAAACCGCAACACCTGATCAAGCCCAAGAGGTTTGCTGTGTTTCTTCATGTCCGTCCACTGCTTCTTTAACAAGTTAATCATCTTTTAGTAATCCTTCTGTAGATTATTTGGTTGCGGATAACTTTTCATAGAAAACTTTTAACGCGTAGATTTCTCATTGTAATGTTTTCTCAATGATAGGTTCACCTTTGGATTCGAGAGTTCTTAAAAGAAAAAGTTTCCGCTGAGGTTGCGGACAAAACTCGTATCATATACGGAGGTGAGTTTTTTGTTAGCGAATCAACTTTTGTAGCTGGGTTTGAATTTCTTCGTGTATTCCTCACTATGCTGTATTTTATCCTCGAAGCGCATCATTAGGAACGCGTGTAGTGCAGTGGTCGGAAGGGAGAATACATGGGATCGATCTCTGTGCCCCATGCTCACCAAGCCTTCCATCCCTCCGGAATCGACAAGACGAGTTGGTACCAGGCCTGTTTGGGAGGATAGCAGCACTGGCTCGATACATCGGTAGGCCACCGCGAGTCATTGTAAAGGCCAGCTCTGCATTCAATCACCTCCAGCGATGCCTAATGAAGTCGAATGCATGGCACATCTCTCAGGGACTAGTCAACACAGAGAGCTTTATCCTTTCTTATCCTTTAAGTGCACCGTTGATTTCCCAGTCCATTTATCTGTTATTTTAGTCACCATCCTTAAGGAAACCAAGCTTTTCTTGTTGTTTAGGATAATTTGAATTTCAGGATCTGTCACTGCTGAGAACTGTGTTGAGTTGGGTAAGAAGCTCGACATAGACGGTTTCCTCGTCGGAGGTGCTTCACTGAAACCTGATTTCGTTAAGATCATCAATGCTCGCAAATGACCGCGAATGTTGGAAATCATTACTAACCAACAATACCTGAGATGGTTTTGGTGCATATTGTAGATTAGGTGGCTAGGTCTCTGCATTGTTATCTATGTCAACATTGTTTAGGTTACCACTGAAATGTTCTCCTTAGGGTCTGTACAATTAAGTCATGCGTCCATTTATATGAAATTGCTTATAATAAACGTTAGAATTTTAATAGAGCAATTAATGTTTATGAGGACACTAGCCCATGGTCTTGATTCCCCATACTCCTTGATTATTCACGTCAGTGACAGTTTAGTTTTTCCGAGTTGACCGCTATATTTTCTGGTTTAGGAAACAATATTATACCTATTCCAGCATGAGTACGCAGTATATTAACGAACCAGTTACATCGGGGAAGGTGAATTTAGTTTTCCAGTAGTTTCAATCTGAAGTTTTCTGACCGGATGTGGATTTAACTGTGAAAAGGCTGTAGTGGCCTGCGAAATGCCCATGCAATGATTTGCATTACTATGCGTGATCGACTAGTTCGAGGCATATTTGAACAAGTTGCTAAATTGTTGAGAATGAAAGGTCTAGTTCTAGTACTGGAGAACCAGCGTTCACTAAGCGCCTATCCTTCGGGGTTTGGCAGACTGGTATCAGAGTTTTCTGGGAGGGTATCAGCATTGACTTGGTACATTGGGAGGCCCCTGCAAATCTGTGTGTGGGCTAAATGCGCATTCATTCACCTTGACGGTGCTTTGGATGGAGTCGAATGCATGGCGCATCCCTCAGGATCTGATCGAAGTCGGGAGTTTTGTACACACAAATGTATGTATACGTGTGCATATATATATATATATATATACGTATATACGTATACATGTGTATGTATACATATAAAAGGACAAAGCTCCCGGTGTTGATCATTTCCTAAGGGATGCGCCATGCATCAGACTTCATTTAGCATCGTTGGAGATGATTGAATGCATATATGGCCTTAACAATGACTCGCGGTGGTCTACCGATGTGTCGAACCAGTGTTGCTATCCTCACAGCCAAGTCTAATACCAATTTGCCGACCCCGGAGGGATGGAAGGCTTGTTGATCCTGCAGCACGGGGATCGATCCCATGTGTATTGTAGGGCGATTCCAACCACCGTGCTACACGAGCTCAGTGATGTAAATAAGTAAATAAATGTGTATCTGTATACTGTAGCTTTTTATCTTCTTATACAAGCTCTTTTTAACTCATTTTGTCTCATTGTTCTTAACCTAATCTATTTTCTAAGGTAGTCCTGCATACAACAGCTGGCGATATTGAAATTGAATTGTGGACCAAGGAGTGTCCTTTAGCGTGTAAGAACTTCATACAACTTTGCATGGAGAAGTACTACAATGGAACGATATTTCATAGGCTGGTGAAGGGTTCGTTCCAAAATCTGGTTGATTTTTCACTTTCTCATTTTTCCTAGAAGCATTCATGGGGGTCAGGTTGTGTAATATCGCTACTGGTAGGAAATGAGAGGAAGGGTCCTCTACAGGATATTAGTTAGGAATAAAAGGACGGATGGACGTTGTCTGGAAAACTCTGCAATACAAATGCACCTACGTTGATCAGAATTTATGATAGTTCACTGTTCTCTTGATGAGCAAACACGAAGTGGTTACTATTCTATTCATTCGCAAAAGCTGACATTCCGGTAGATTTCGCTTTTTTCGGAACCTGAACATGTCAACTTAACTGTTGTTTACTCAGCAGAATAGCTCTGTCAGTCGAGCAGAAAAGTACGAAACGTAGTTTTCGATCGCAGTGAAAAACAGTTTCTTCTAACACTCGTCGTTTTTGTGAGTTCTTTCCTGAGTCTTCCATATGGAGACTAACTACACAGAGTTTACATGGGTGGCTAATATGCCTCAAAGTATCAGTCTGAGATATGAAACTATACGTGATAACGAGGCATTCTTTCCTGCGGTTTACTTTTAGATTCCTGGAGTTAATCCAAAATTCCTTGACGCTGTTACGTCCCGAAGTCTTAAGCTCCAGTGTGGTGATAGCGACTTTTACTTCAAAATCTTCTCTTTTGTGTTCTTGACTCCTGTGAGTGCTTAGCGCAGTCATCTGTTTGACTCGACGTTCGCCAACTAGGCGTTCTTTCATAAGGAAGAACAGATCTGTCCGTTCTACTAATATATACGATCCAGACACTTTGCAAGAGGTCAATTAAGGATATTTTTTAACTACTTTCCTAAAATAGTTGTTTAATAGTAGGTAGAATGCGTACGGATTCACATGGATCTGTTGTATACTACACAGTTCTTCCATCAGTAAAGTTCTACGAGTGCTCTACGTGGTCTTATTGCAGTAACCTGTTTTACCACACAATTTTATGTTGAGTCTTGATCGATATGAAGTGACCGCATAGGTTTAGATAGAAAATTGGCTGAGAGAGGCGAAACAAAGAACCCGCATGGTTCGGCGGCGAACGCGTTATCCCCCGGAAAGGGTTGAAGCACGCTCGTTTCTCGCCGCGAACACCTGCGGCCTGGAGTGTTGTAAATATCTCGGCATCGATGTGGTTAGGTTTCACATAATACCCTAGCGTGAAAAAGTAATGGGCAATAAATAGATAGTTAACATTGTGACTGCGTAAGATCTATTTGACAACTTTGAGCAGGGACATGTGTGATTGGTGTGGGCTCAGTTCAGTATTATTTTGAATCTTTTATTATTTCTTTTCTCCAGATTACATTATACAAGGGGGTGATCCAACAGGTACTGGACATGGTGGAGAAAGTATTTATGGGAAACCCTTCAAGGTATGCAATAAAAAGCTTTGTTAACTTTTGTAGTTGGCTCTTTACTTGAATCAACTCAGGATGAATTCCACCAGCGATTGCGTTTCAATCGTCGTGGATTAGTTGGGATGGCTAATGCTGGTAAAGATGATAATGGAAGTCAGTTTTTCTTCACTGTCGGAAACGATGTACGAGAACTCGACAGGAAGCATACTCTTTTTGGAAAGGTATATGAGATATAACTTTATTTGGTGTATTTCGCTATCCTTCTCGTTGGCTTTTTATGTTTCTCTTTTTCTTTTCGCTTTTCTTTTTCATTGGTTGTGTTCACTCAGTGTACACGAAGAACGCGGATTCCTGGTATGAATGCTTTAGTCTTCACTGTTTTTGACGATAGAAGATTGCTGGAGATTCGAAATATACTAGACAGACAGTGTTCATTTCGTATGCATTGGTTTCAATGCATTTTACTTCCCGCTGCTTACTTCGCTGCACAGTTCTTTTACTTTTTTTTTATTCATTTGATAGCTTTTCCAACACAGATGTTGCTTCCTAGGTAGTCCGCAAGAAATCTTTCTCTATGATTAATTTTTTTTTACGAAGAACCGTTTTCCCTTTCGAGTTTGTTCGTTAATCGAACAAGATGGTTTCGTAATCATAGATGCCACATTCAAATTCACATTCAGTTGTTACTAGAACTTTCCAAACTTATAATAGACTAATGAAGAGAGATCATCGCGCTTGTTCTGGACTTAACCTTATCAAGGCTGTGAGATTTTGCCAGTGTTATACATCTCTACATTGCCTTGTCGAGAACTCTCATGTTGAGAGTAGTAAATGTGTCCCTGCAACAATCTACAAGGCGGAAGAAATCATGGGTCATTGAAGTGTAACTTTAATGATTTCATTATGACAAGAAGTGTTTCTTGTTGCGACAGAAGTTGCGATATAAAACACTGGGTTTGTCCGCATGCAGGTTCTTTTAGGCTGGATAGAAATTTGACATTTCCATCAAGAAACCAATCTGAGTTGAACTGTGCGAGTAATCGCTGCTGTCCTGCATGGATCCTATATGCATGGCAGCAAAAAATCCTCGGATCCATGATTATTGCCAGTTTTTTCTAATGATGAGCTACGAACGTCCCGGTATGGCTACCACTGTGGACTTTGAAGAATAGAAATCCTTCTTATCAGCAAAAACCAGTTAAATGTGCTTGAGCAGGAACTATTTGTAAAAACGACCTACCATAGTGTCCAAGTATGTACTGGGAAGTTTTACACCACCAGAGCTTGTACGATTCACCTTGTTCCCTGTCGTATCTATCATGAAGTAATTATTTTGCAGATTGTTGGCAATACGATATTCAACATGCTAAAGATGACTGAATGTGATATAGATGACAATGAACGGCCGAAAACTATACACAAGATTATAAACGTTGATATCCTGACAAATCCATTCAAGGATATCAAACCAAGTTAAGATTCATGTTGCTCAGCTTTTCTCGTTTCATAAAACGTGAACAGTTTGGCTTTTTTTTACTGACTGGGTTTCTTATTCACTCCGTTTTTTAGGGATATTGTCAAAGAGAAGAAAGTTAAGAAGCGTGAAAAGAGACCTGTGGAGACAAAGAAGCTTAATTTGCTTTCATTCGGAGACGAAGCTGAAGAAGATGATATGGAGGTTGATGAAGTCAATAAAGTGAGCTATTTTGTTCGTTGGGAAGAAATCCTATTCTCAATGCAATCACAATGATGCTAAGATATTTGCAAAACTCGGAAGCCCAGGCCAGCTTTGAACCTGTGAGTATCGTTTCCGGGGTTTACGTTTTACCCACTGCACCACCGAGGTTTTCGCTTTGCCTGTATCTCAGCCAGTTTTTTTACCCAGTGTTATCAGCAATCAACCGTCAATGGGATTGATCTGGATAGCAGAAATCGGCATGCCTCTTTTATTTACTGCTTGTTATTTTTTGTGGGATGGTTTTAGGCATTGTTATTTTTCTTAGGGGTTGCACGTAGCGCAGTGCAGACACTGATTCGATCCCTCAACCCAGTCTGACCAGGTCTTTCCACCCGCCTCCAACAATGCTAAGTGGTATCGAATGTATGGCACATCCCTGTGGGATTGTTCAACGTCGAGTCCTTTATTCTTTGTTATCCCTTTTTATTCTTAGTGTCCTCTATTTTCCTGCTTTTCCTTCGTGAAAAACGGATGCTGTAAATACAACTTTTAGGTGTTGAATAAAAAAGGAAAATCCGCTCATGACGTATTATCTGACGACAGGAAACTGAGCAAGCAAGTGGCTGTTACTGCGGATGAAATGGCGGATTATGAACCGGTTTGTAGGCGTGTTCAAGTTTTGCAATGGATTTTAGCTATGGTTTACATGACTTATTTTCTAGAGGTACGGAACCGTGGTGTAGATTTCCACTGCCAAAACTCTTAACTTTAGTTTCATCGATGACTATTTGTGATATAATTCTGTCCTAGGACGAAGACGTAGATCGGGTCGTTTCTACAGTTTCAAGCGTGCGAGCCAGATTCGCAGCGAAAAGGAAGGTAGTTTTATTGCTTGGCTTACCCACATTTTTGATGGATTTAAATCTCTTTTTGTTGCTGATGGCCATCCATCCATCCACACTAGTCAATCGCTCCCCACTTTCTCTTCTTCCTCGTTCCAGTTCACGTGCACGAATCAGTTAGTGGGTCTCGTTGTAAAGCATAAACCCCTGAGTTGCTGGTTTACTAGTCCTCTCATTTCATTGAAGACAAACGAAATTAAGAACGGTACACAAATATGGTGGCTTTCCTCTGTAATCGTTAATCACGCCATTGATGTGTAACATCTCTTGCTGTTTAGATTGAAGAAGTGGACGACGATGGTAAAGACGAGGACTTTGAGAAGATGATTGACGATGAGCGTCGAAAACAAGAACAGGCGAGAATGTCAGTGGAGTTGTTTTGCTTTTAGTGTTGGTTCTTATCATTTAACTTTACGTAATATTTTCTGTGAACTTTCTAATACTTGGTTAAGATTTCTATTCTGCTACTGGATTCTTGAGGGATTTTTTTTTCTCATGATATCCTCTTTTCTAGGGAAGCAATACAAGCTGAATTAAAAGCTATGCAAAAGGAGCATATTAAAGCTCTTCGTAGGCCGAAGAAAAAACTGGACGATGAAGAAGGTTTTGTTCCTACTTTTTTTCTTTTTTTTGCTCCTTCCACTTTTCTACATCTTACACTTATGTGCTTAGTATTACATGCATATTCCGTATTTCAATCATTTATGCCCTTTACCTTAAAGAAATGTTCAAAGTTGCTACAATTAAGTCTGAAGTGTTTTCTGCCTTGACTATAGTAGAGTAGAATATTTCTTCGACTCTTCTTACAGAGAAAGGGGCGCGTGTAGCGCAGTGTTCGGAGACATCGTAGAAAACATGGGATCGATCCCCGCACTACAGGCTCACCAAGCGCCCTCCCCTCTGCTCCTCCTCTTATCCTTCTTGGATCGGCAAATTGGTACCAGACTTGTCTAGGAGGATAGCAGCACTAGCTCAATACATCGGTAGACTACCGCTAATCATTGCAAAACCCAGATATGCATTTTACCACCTCCAACGATGCTCAATGAAGTCGAACGTGTTCATCAGGAATTGATCAACCCCGAGAGGTCTATTATTTTCATTATTTTATTATTATCTCACGGAGACACTAATACAGACAAGTTTATCTTGGGGATTGACAATAAAGGCAACAAGGTTTTGAATCTTTTTATTGCTTTTATTGAAAGCTGTCTTTACGCCATGGGTCTGTATGGCGTCGTTCTCCTCGTCACAGTGATATTACAGAGGCGATCATTCGGTGCTCTGAGTCTCATTTTAGTTAACTGCTAGTAATAGGTTTGTCTCTTCCTCTGAATACTCAGAATATTTCTAATAATTGACTAACAAGTTTCATACAGTTGTACATTTAGAGGAGCAGCAATCGGAAGCACTGAGGATGTACCATGGCCTGAAGCTTAAATTTAAGTCAAAGTCAAAGAATATTTTGAAAACAAAGGACCCCGAACGTGAGAATCAGGTACGAGAAACAATGTCCGAGAAGGAACTGAAGGTTTATTCCGGACCTAACGCTTATGGTAGTAGCCTTTATCATCCCAGTCGTTGTTAGTTATCTGATCAGTGGTGTTGGCTCAGAAATGTTTCCATTCATCACATATGTGCGGTAGAGTTTTCGTGGTTGCATCGGAACTCGCTGTCGTCCCGACTAAGCATACAAGTTTCATGTCGGGCTCTCACAGAGTACTTATAGGGGTTCTCCTTAGAAAATGCGTACAAAAAACGTTCGTTGGCAAAATTCAACACTTAACCAAGGTTGACAAAAGTTATAGCACATCAAAAATAAACCTAGAAATCGTTCCAAGGATTTGACTGCTATCCGTGTAGCGGTAGTCGTCAACATTCAGCTTACATGAACCCTCATATTGACTGAACTTCGACAAGCTTTATGTTACGCAGAGTATATGTCTTCACGACAAGCTTATAAAACGCTTTAAAATATTTGACCGAACAGTAGTAGATTATATCTCCTCGGTTTCTCTTTTTTGGTGAAGTTACCATAACCAAAGTCCTTTACTGGTTTTAAATTTGATATTTTGAATACCCATTGGTTTGCAGGCTGGGCGAAGTTTATGCCTGCGCTGTATCAAATCTGAATTTATGGAAAATTGACAATCTATTCAGTTAGCTGTTATTCTTTTGAAAGATTCGTCCGTAACCGTTATCGTAACCCCTGGCATTGTAAGGTTTTTTCAGTGAATCTGTAAGAATTCGAGGGCTTGCACTCTATTTTACTTTCCATTCCTCTACCAAGCATTAATGAAAAGAAATTCCCCATAAAAAAGGAGCTTTTGTTTTCTTGGCCACTTCTAATTATTTCCAAATGCATGTCATCTACCGATAAGCTGTCTATAACAGACAATGACTATCCTGGAACGATTTAAAAAACGCCTAGCAGCGTCCGATCAATCGGCGATTCTTCATGACAGGAAAATCGTGATAGAAGAAGATACTAACGACAAGGATGAGGAAAAGAAGTTTGGTATAGACTTGGACGCCGAGGACACAGTGGGCGATGAGTGGTCGGTCTTCTTCTTATCTCTATGTTGTTACTTTAAACCGTTTGAGTTTTTTAAAGCGGTATTCAACAAGATGACAAATGTCTTTAATTTTCATCAATTCGTTATCTATAATGACGCAATGCTTGGAGGCGCCCTGCAATACACATGGTATCAATCCTCGCGCCTCTGGGTTACCAAGCCCTTCATCCCTCCGGGGTCGGTAATTTGGCATCAGATTTGTCTGGGAGGATAGCAGCACTGACTCGATATCTCAGTAGGCCACCACGAGTCATTGTAAAGGCCAGATATGCATTTAATCACCCCCAACAGCGCGTAGTGAAGTCGAATGCATGGCGTACCCTCAGGGATTGATCAATGCCGAGAGCTTCATCCTTTTTTATAATGAGCATGACTACTCTGATAGAAAATAGAAGTAGATGTCGTATGAACGTGAGATTCTTTTTGTGTAGGAGGATTTATCTAAAGAAGTAACATCCAACGTTGATTTTGGGTTTGTTCACGCTTTAAGACAACCGTTTGTTTCTCATGTGTTGCTCATCAAAGTAGTCTGTGTAATCGTTATTTTGGTAGAATATTAAACTTTTCTTTTACATGGTAACTCTCTGAGGCGAGGCTAGCGTAGTGTGGAGGTGCTCTTCATTAATACGCGCAAAGCCCCGGTTCTACGCTGACATGAACCATCCAAACCACTCAATCCTCCGAGGTCCAACATTTGGTGCCATACTTGTTTGAGAATGCTTACAAAGGTTGGTGATTGCCTATTTTGAAGACATGGGAACATCTTAGCAAACCTATCAAGATTGTAGAGGCAGACTATTCGACCAATATTCACCCGTACTAATAAAGAATACCAAAATATTGGAGCGGCAGCCAAGCTTACACCTAAATCTGAAGACCATCGTGGGTGATATATGCGAATGAACAAATTGGATGAGGGGATGTGATGTACCTGCACTGTATGTAAAGTTAAGAGATAAAGGTCTCGGCGTTGATCAATAGTTGAGGGATGCGCCATGCATTCGACTTTATTAAGCATCGTTTGGAGGTGATTGATTGCATATCTGGCCTTTACAATCACTCGCGATGGCCTACGATGTAGCTAGCCAGTGCTGCTATCCCCGACAAGTCTGGTACCAGTTTACCAACCGCGAAGGGATAAAAGGCGTGGTGAGCTTTGTGCGCGAGGATCGATCCCGTTTGTATTGCAAGGTGCCTCAGACCACTGCGTTACACGCAACCGTATGTGATGTTAGATGATGTAAAATAAGTTCTCGAATATATATATATATATATGTATACAGTGTGCGTACCTATATGTGTACTTTTTTTTCTTGTCAAGAGAGGATTGCGCTGTGGTAGTATGTCCTTCATCACGAGCGTGGTGCTAGTTCGATTCCGCTACGGACCAACCAAGCCTCTCATCCTCTCGGGGTCGGTAAATTGGCACCGGCCTTGTCTGGTAAAAAATTAGTTCCTGAAATCCAGCTGTAAACGCTTTAACTCAGCCATCTCGGGCTCCAAGGAGAATTGCTCAACCAGCATTCTACGACATTCAAGATGAACCGAAAATCCTCAAGCAGCAACCGAAGCTGCACGCAAAGCTGGAAGATCTTCGTGGACAATGAATACGAAGAAACGATTCGAATGTGAGAAGTACTGGTATCCGCACAATAAACGTGAAGACGGATCATGTAAAATAAAAAAAATAAATAAGAATATTTGATGTCAGTTTTCTTGATGACCAAACACGAGGAGTTTGGCCTTCAAAGCTCATTATTCTCTTCTAGCGGTGATCTTCCAAAAAATGAGCACAATAGGATTCTTTCGATTCGCACTTCCTCAGTTGAGCGTGTTTTCATTGAAGAGAAGCGCCGAATAGTCGTATTTCGACGTCCAGTGCATGATGGGCTGTCCTCTGGGAGACAACATAATTCAAGTAGTCGTCTTTGTTTGATTAAGTTCGGTGCCACTCGCTTTTTAACACAGCTGCTGAGGAACTGCATTGCTTATCGAGCCAAGACAACCTTTCGTCCTAGTGGCAGTGCTTACTTTACGAGTGCAAAATATCTATTTTGCTACATCACTAAGCAATTCAAGTAGTACTTGAGACTCATTTCTTCTCATCAAGGAGACAGTCAATTATTTGATCAGTGCCTAGGTTAGTAGAAGGTCGGTCTTGTGAATTCTTCTAAGGAAATCTTCTGAAATAGTGGATTAATCCTTCATACTAATTATATGAGTTTTGTGTGGAACATTATTTGCATGAAAACGTTTTACCAAAGTGTAGAATAAGGGTAAGAACACACTAAATTACTTTGTTTGCAGGATGAAGCACAAATTCGAAGCTGAAGATGACGATCCCAAGGTTTCGAAGGCAAAAGACGCTAACTTGAGAGAGGAGAGTGAGGACTGGTACGATATCCATGACCCAAGAAATAAGATGAATCAAAGGAGACGTGGTGAAGTCTAAAGTTGTTGCAACAATTCAGTTACTTCTGTCCTTCCTTACTTCCTATAATCAGGGTTATTAACGTGGTTAAGCGTATAGATGGTGGCATGAGAAACCATGCCCACAGATCACTGTTTAAGAAACCAGCAACTGTATTAGGAGCCGGGGCCAAGAGTTCGAGATACATCTATTGCTCCTTGGTTCCTGTTTTTCTTCGACTGATACTCATTTCTTTTCATGCTATGTTGGTGTTTAGTGTTGTAAATATACAGTAGTACTTATATTTCTAACTGACTTCTGATTCCATCTGTATTTGAGCAGCATGAATATCCACACCATTATTTGGTCATAAATCAAATCCACATATTTCTATGACGGTAACCAACTTTATAATGTTCATGGTCAGTGACTTCCAAATTAGTTTCATGGACTTCACTTGACAGGTAATTTAGATAGAATTTATGAGAAACGATAAAATTCGTATTTTTCTATGGATGTTTGTTTCGAATACGAGTATTGGAGTTATAAAATATCCAACACAGCGATGAAGTCTCTAGACTACCTGTGAGCACAAACTAATGTAACCTCACCCCTCTACCTAGCACTAACACTACGATAATCGATACAATCACTTGTCATTTGAATTACAATTCTCCCATTGATTTATTCAAGTAAATCATCTTTTTTTATTGCCAAACTAACCCGAGATTTTCTTAAAATGTGGTGCTTCGGCGATATTACTATTTCCAGTTTTTTGCAATGCCATAATCTTTAGACATCACCTAGGTTCCAGTCGTATAGAATACGCCATGACTATATTAGCTGTAATTAGTGGAGCCATTGTTATTTGGTAGTAGTTGGTTAGTTGCCAATTCAATTAGACCAACTTTTGTAGAGACCATCTTTCCTGCAGCAGTCGGAACTAGTTTTGTACGTGGTATATAGCAATTCAGTGCATATTTTTTCGAAAGTGCCAATAATTTGCCGTCTTCTTAATCAGAACACACGAGGTTGTTATTATACTACTTGGCAAATTTCGCATTCATCTGAGCCTGAAAGCGTCAAGTTGACTGCATTCATGCTAGCCCAATACCTCAATAACACCGCCAGAAAAACCGCAACACCTAAACTTCACTAGGCCGAGTGGAAGACTCATGGAAAACTGTAACCATGTGAAGAAATTGCATTGTCTTCAATGCGACTGAATTTAGGTTTCGTGGTTTTTCGGTTAAGATTACGAAAGCATTCGACTAACTAGATTGCATTCAAGTTGACCTTTCCAGGCTCTGAGAAAGCTAAATTCGCCGAAATGTCGACTTTTGCCGAGAAATAAGTAACATAGTAACAAGGTTTTTTTTCTGATCAAGAAAAGAGCAAATTACCAGTGTATTTTTCCACGTGGGTTCTCCAAACAATCGCCTGCTCAATAATTGGTGTTGGATCTGGCAGTGATAACTTATGAGCATATTTCAATTAATGCTAGTTCGATGGTTTTACTCCTCAGGGTCAGACGGTCCACTTCATTTTGGAGTGTTTTGATAAGTGGTATAGCGATTTTACGAGGCTCCGTGTTTGTCTTTTGGCGGTATTTGTTCCCTTCGCCAACAAATGCTTTACGTCGTTCTCCGCCTTCATCTTGTATCCCTATGGCTTTAATCTCACTATGCACACGAAGTTCTGTATCTTCGCAGGAGACATGCTTCCAGTTGTTCAAAATACTTTCCTGAACCGTTTTAAAGTTATGGTCGGCTACAACAATTTATGTACGAGAAAACTTTTGATATTGATTTTTTTTCCTTTGAAAGATTTGGTAATTTTCTAGTACATTACTGTGATACTTTGACAACTTCAAAACGGTTACAGGAAGTATTTTAAGGAATTGGAAGAATGTCTCTTGGGAAGATATAAAGCTCTATGTGGAAAGGAAGATTAAAGTTATAGGTATGCGACAAGCCGAAATGGAGGAACGTAAGATACTTGTTGACGAAAGCAACAAATACTGCTGAAACACAAGCAAGTAGTCTCGTAAAGTCGCTATATCACTTATCAAAGCCTTCCAAAATGGATTGGATCATCTGACTCTGAGGGGTAAAGCCATCGGAACAACATTAATTGAAGTATGCCCACAACTCACAGCTACGGCGCGTGCGGCGCCGTGGTTGGAGGCGCCACTGCTACGCGCACGTGGAATCGATCCTTGCCCCCATGACCCCAAAGCCCTCCATCTCTCCGGGGTTGGAAAATTGGCACCAGACGTCTGGGAGGATAGAAGCACTAGCTCGATACATCGATAAACCACCGCGAGTTATTGTAAAGACCAGATGTGCATTCAGTCACCTTCAACGACACTTGATGCAGTGGAATGCGTGGTGCATCTCTCAGAGATTGATGAATGTCGAGAGCTTCATCCTTTATCCTTTATGATCACAGCTTATCACTTCGTCAGATTCAACACCAATTATCAAGCAGGTGACTGTTTGAAGAACCCAGGCGGAAGGAACTTAAAATTCTACCGGGGAAGCAACTCTTCTGCGGGGAGAGGTTGAATTAGTACGGAACGAATTAGCTGAGTTGAAGAATGAAGAAGTCTAATTGGTAAGCTTCGTGGTACAATATCAGTGAGGCAGTTAAGTATTTTTTGTTTATAACCAGTGGAAGAGGCGCGCGTAGAGCAGTGCTCAGAGACGCCCTGTAACACATAGGATCGATACTCGCGCAAAGCTCACAAGCCTACCATCCCTCCGGGGTCGTCAAGTTGATACCAGACTTATCTGGGAGAATAGAAGCACTGAGTCAATACATCGGTAAGCCACCGCGAGTAATTTTGAAGGCCAGATATTCATTCAGAAACCTCTAACGATGCTAAACGAAGTCGAATGCATGGGGCATTCCTCAGGGATTGATCAACACCGAGAGCTTTATCCTTATACTTTTATGCAGCGGCCTATTAAATACTGAAGTTTAAAGGAATAACGGTTTTTGTCATCTTAATGATGTACAATAATCAATTCATATAAATATTTATTAAACAGCAAAATGTATCGAACAATGCACAGGTTATGAAAATCTACATAACGAACCTCATGAACCGGGGAAGCGTCGCTCAACCGGGCAGTATTCGGTGGGTGGGATGAACATGAACGTCCGAACGAATATGTATAGAACTACACAGACAAAATACACACATAACCCAGATTTGGTAATTATGTGTAAAAATTGAGTAAAAATAATACTGTACAGCAGAACCTAGACAACAAAACTGCACACAACAAAACGTGTTTAGTCAGTGTCATACACTGAACAAATGAGGAGTTTGTGGGGCACACAAGAGTGGACGGGATATAGTAGGATTTAGCTGCTGTTGAAAGAAATCGGTGGTGAAATCAGTAGTATAGAGAAAATCGATAAATGAATTCAATGTAAATAAATAGACAATGACAGAGGTTACTGGGATCTCAGTTGTACTGGGATGAAACAGATCCGATAACGATGCTCTGCCAGAGTATCGAGGATACGAATCGAAACCGTATCTCATAGCAGTACAACGTTCTCGGATTAGATCACATTTAACAATGAGATGTAGCTTCTTTCTGGGATTGAATAGACGAGTCGGATGGATCGCTATGCGATCACAGGTCGTTACATGACTCGAGAGTTCGATGGAAAAATAGCGTAGCCCAGAACGACACAAAATGAACCGATACATCCGTAATAAAACTCTATGCAAAAAGAGATTCTCTTCATAGCAGCTTTTCATATGTCATACTTTCTTAATAATGCAAATCCAGGTGGTTCTTCCATAGTTCGCAAACTACATCTACATGTTACTAGGGGAGTATAGCGAAAACCCAGTAAAAGTACTATGCTTCAAAGGTGTTTGAACAAATGTATTTACTACGAGCTAAATACTAGTGGCCGTTTTTCAGGAAGTGACGGTTCCCCTTACTATTGTTAGTTATTAAAAATCCAACAGAATGACACCTGTACAATTCATCTACACCGACTATGAAGAATCATTTTTCGAGAGTTCTGAAAAACCCTGAAGATGAAGAGTAATGATAACATATCCATCACATCATACCCTGTTATCATCTTTTTCTCATCTTACCACTGCCGTTTACTGCCGTGATTTCTCATCTAATTTACTATGTTTCGGTTATTTTCTGTCGTATGACGTGAGAAACGGCTAAAGCAAGAATATAATGGACCAGATGATTAGAAAACGTGTTACACACGAATTCTTGAAGTTACAAAGCCTAAAGCGGGCAACAGTTATTTTAAAATGCTGCTGTACCGTAATCAAGAGTAATCGTTTCGGGAACCACGTAATAGATACAGTCTGCTTCAAAGTTGCACCTATACACGAATATTAATATTCTTCACCCTATCGAAAGAAATCGGATATAGCCATTAATTACGTGGGAATCCCGCAACGATATCCTGAATTACAGGGAAAAAGGCTCTTAATCTGACCATTCTTCTTCTAAGGTGGGGGCGCAGGACGTTTTCATAGTGACGAACCATATCTGAAGGCGATGAACATTACTTGTAAGCACATCAAGGATGAATGATAAAGAGGCGTAGAAGGAGGAAGGAAGAAGATACTACCCTGTTGGCTCACGAATCTCGCCGCTACGATAAGAGCGGTATGCCTAATTCGATTCGAACTTAGCAAAAGAGAAGAGAAAATCGAAATAGAAAATAGACACAAACAAAAATAGAAATTATATTCGTCGTCAGATTCTGGCCCACAACAAAAAACGAGCCAATAATGAAAAGAAACAGTGAGGAAAAAGAAAAAGACGAAAACAAGAAAATTTGTCACCTATTCAACACACAATACACGCGAATTCTCGTATAATGCTCGAATGCCATCAGAAGGGATGAAAGGTGTGAAGAAATCAACGACAATTCTTGGCTAAAGAGAATTCAGGCGGTGTTCACAGATATAGGGCAGAATAGGGGGGAAAATCACTAAATTCTCAGTACTAGGGTTTAACTGCGAGGTTTAAGCTAGGGGT